TTAAAAACTTGCCGTTCTGCCATTATTCCTGTCTTTATCTTTTCCACCAATAGTAACAGCCGGTGGTTGATCATGTGACTCGTTTGATACAAAAAACGTGTTTTATTGCACTTTTGTGAAACACAAACCAAAACCACTTTACCTCAGCGACATTTTATAAAAATGAGTTTTTATAAAATCTGCATGCTTCCATTGAGCACCTTTCTTTTCATAATGTCACCTTATAAGTCTGAGAGAAACGCAGCTATTGATCGTTTCCCGTTTCCTCCGTCATAGTTTCGGAATCTGTCCCCACCTGACCGACGACAACAAAGACCAGCTGAAGGGGAAAGACCTGCTGGTGGCGTACTACGACGTCGACTACGACAAAAACCCCAAAGGCTCCAACTACTGGAGGAACAGGTGGGCGTTTCGGGCGTTCCTCCTCGCCACGCGCCGACTCGGCTTTCTTCACACACTTCTCCCTCTCTCGCCCTTCTCGGCCCAGGGTGATGAAGGTGGCCAAGGGCTTCCTGGACCAGGGGAAAAAGCTGAACTTTGCCGTCGCCAACAAGAACCAGTTCAGCCACGACCTGTCCGACTTCGGCCTGGACGGCGGCTCTGGGGAGCTGCCCGTCGTCGCCATCCGCACCGCCAAGGGAGACAAATACGTCATGAGCGAGGAGTTCTCGTCAGTCCACCAAGCTTCACTTTAATATCTTTTTTTTGTTGTTGTTTCTTTCTTTTCTCCTCTGATATCTTTTGTTTTTGTCACCTGCAGCCGAGACGGAAAGGCTCTGGAGCGCTTCCTGCAGGACTACTTTGACGGGAAGTTGAAGCGCTACCTCAAGTCGGAGGCAGTCCCTGAAAACAACGACGGCCCCGTTAAGGTGAGGGATTCCTGAAGTGGCTGCTTCACAATGTCAACTTTGTTTCCTCTGACTGCAAGGGATGGGAAATATGGAATTCATTTTTTAAAAAGTCCGTTTTAAAAAAGCATTGTGGAAAACTCTCAACCTCTTCAACATGACTGTAGTGGACAAATGGTGTCTTCAGTCAGAGGCTTCTTCAAATTTGCTGTGGTTTAGACTGCTACAGGAGCACCTTCCTGCCCACAGTCATCAGGATGTACAGCAACTCTCTGAAGAATCTTGAATTAATGAGTTCCATTTCATTTCTCTTTGGGGTCAATAAAATATTTCTAAGTTTTATTTTCCATTTGTAATCTTTTCTGCAATTGGATCTCAATTCAAAGTCCAAATTAATATAAGCTTTTTTCTGTGTTGGTTTGTGGATGGTGAGCAACAACGGAAGGCCAAAGACTGCAGTGATGGAGGGGAAATACAGATTTTCCCAAAAAAGTTAATCATCCTGAACTGCACATTTTGATTAATGACTTGATTGATTCATTACCTGTCTCTAGTGGCCTTGTCTGTCTGCTCGGTTTTCTTTAATTAATCAAACAAGTACAAAACTCTGACAGTCACTAATTTTGTGGAACTATTTTTTTTTTCTCGTTGACTGTAAATAAATGCCAAATATTTTTAAAAAACTTTTCTGCCCATGCTGGTTATTAATGTGTGGGAACATTTGGAGAAAAGAGTCTGTAGTTGGATCAATTGGGACTGTAAAAGTTTCCCGTTTCAGTTGATGGCTCTGATCGTTAAACAGATTTTATTTATTTTAATCAGTCACAAATCCTTCCTGCAACACACAGGATGTTCTTCCCAAGTTGTCAAGAACAACTTCCTAGTAGAGACTGGAGTTATTTTAGGTTTAAAACGTTTGCAATGCTTCTGTTTTTAGTTTTTCTTCCAGCAGTAACAGCTTCCACACTGAAGAGCAATGATGTTGGGATTTTGGTTGTAGTTCATCCACTGATCAGGAAACGGAGATTGGAGCCAGTCCGGGTGGAACTGTGCTGGTTCTGTCCTGGTTCCGGTCAGCAGCAGACTAAGTGCAGGTTTGGACTGAGCCCAGTGCCTCTGTGTCTCCAGGTTGTGGTGGCTGAGAACTTTGACTCCATCGTCAACGATGACAGCAAAGACGTCCTCATCGAGTTCTATGCGCCGTGGTGCGGCCACTGCAAGAACCTGGAGCCCAAATACAAGGAGCTGGGAGAGAAGGTAGGATCGATCCTTTCTTTTTTCTATTTTTCTTGTTCATGCTATGTTTTAGTTTTCTTGCCTTTGTTTTTTTTTTTTTAATCAGAAAAGCCTAGATTCTCTTTTTACAAGTAGAAAATGGAGCTGATTCAATGCGTTTTATTTATAATTTGTAATGAAATGATCTCTGCACATGTAGGCCTGTGATGATAAACTATCTTTGATAAATTGTCCAAGAATCTATTGCGATAAACGATGTTATTGTTTTGAGGCCATTGTCTTTTAAAGAACCTGCTGACTGGACCCACAATGCACCAGTGGCCAGACTTGTTTGTTTGTTTGTTTGTTTGTTTGTGTGTGTGTTTTGTTTGTTCTTGAGTGTGGAAAATGGAAACACTTAAAGCAATTTTATTTTCTTATTTTGCTAAGACTCTTATTGTGAAGGTTTAGGGGAAGTTCTGCCTCACTTAATTTGCTGTACTGATGGGTTTTAATTGAAGTGGCAACATTTTTCAGTCAAAACAGGCCGTTTCCCAACACAGACCAAAGAGTGCCAAGTTAAACTCTTTTAAAGCAGATCATTCTGAAGGTCACAACCGTCTAAAAGTTGTTGACAGGCTTGGTTACCGTCAGCCTATCAGGACGGCTCACCACGTTTCCCTGAAACATCTTTAAAAACTGTCGAGTCCAAAACTCGGCAGCTTTTAACGCTCAATGCTGTTTTGTTGAAATATTCCTGCTTTACTGTTTCTGACAAAACACGTTCAGAACTTTGAGTGTAGTTTGAATATCACAGTTAATATCCACCATTTTGTTTTCCTTTTGAACTTATCTTAACGGGTCGCTTCTCGTTCTGCAGCTGGCCGACGATCCCAATGTTGTTATTGCCAAAATGGACGCCACAGCTAATGACGTGCCATCTCCATATGAAGTCAGCGGGTGAGTCCTGTGCGGTTTTGTGTTTTTCTCCTTGTGACTTCCTTGTTTTAAGAATGAACAATTGTATTTTGATTTCATAATTTTTATTTATTTTCTCTCTCTCTCTCTCTCTCTCCAGATTCCCCACGATCTACTTTTCCCCTGCTGGACGCAAAATGAGCCCAAAGAGATATGAGGTGAGTGGCAGACGCCTCTGGGGGTCGAGCGTTAGCCACGGCCGTAAATGCTAACGACTGAACATGTTGGCAGTTTGTACTTTGTCCCTATCTAATGAAGAAAACATCCTGCCGTTGTCTGTGCAGGGAGGTCGAGAGGTGAGCGACTTCATTTCCTACCTGAAGAGAGAGGCCACCAACCCCTTAGTGGTGCCAGAGGACGCCAAGAAAAAGAAGAAGAAGAAGGACGACAAGTCAGAGCTATAGAGGCTCCCAAGAGAAACTCAACGCCCCCAGCACCCCCACCCACATCACAACAACAGGAGGAGGAGATTCGGGGAACAGAACTAAATTATATCCCACTCGCTTAGTGAACTACCAAAAGCTCTGAAGCCGACGTCAAAAAGCCGGCCGCTCCTTGGATCCTCTGCTGCTCTGGAATCCTGTGGAAGGTGGAGAGGTGGTGGCCAGCGTCTGCCCGACCGTTTTACTACAATAAGAAATTTTTAGGGAAGAGGGACAGCTTTTCTTGAAATGAGATTTCTATTTCCTCTGGTCTGTCTACCACACCTCAGACTGATGCACTTTGGTTTGATACCAGTTTCCAGTCATCTGTCGCTTGTTTTTGTTCTCTTTCAACACAGGGGACAATTTTATTTTTTAATTTTTTTTTTTTTTTTTTTCCTTGTTTGTAACTGGTCTTTGTTTTTGTACATTTGGAAGGATTGTGAAATAAAAGGCCCACAAAACCTAAATGACTGGTACAACCTTGTTTCTGATGTTTTTATTCTGCTGTGACGATTCCAAGCTTTCACCAAATTAATATTTAAAGAGCCACAGAAAATTCCACAAGGGCATAATTATGGCCATCATAGACGAGAAGAAAAAGGAGCACATTTCTGCCAAAAACATTCTGAAACTCTCTAGGAAATATGAGTTTGAAATGTAACATTTACTAGAAATTGAGATTTCTAGTAAATCTTTAACTCAAATAGAAATACTTCAAAGGGTCAATTTTTAAAACCAATCTTTGGTGATAGATGAACAGAGGTTTTTGTTTCCCTATTAACTTATTTTCAGAGTTGGACTATTTTGCGTACAGCAAAGAAAATGTGGCGGAAATGAGTTGGAATCAAACCAACATCTACGGCAATGATGTGTAGAAAATGAATTCAGTGTAAAATGTGTAGGTTGCTTCAACTCAAACATTTAAACTTAGTTTCCACTAGCTGCTGTTCAAAATGTCTCGGCATGTTCGACTCAGTTAACTGGAAGATTTCCACTAAATTAACATGAGAGAACGTTTTGATGGCTGACAGAACACCAACCTGTGAAATAATCAGTTTTTTTGTGGCAGTACTTGACGTAATGCCAAATCCCACCACTAGGCGGTGCTGAGATGGAGTACTTCTGATAAACCAAACATTGAGAGAAACGGAATGAAAGAAACGATCAGATTAAGAGTATAGCTATTTGAATGACATTTCATATTTAATAAGGAGGGAAAATAATGATAAATGTGAAGGATATGGAGAAAAAGAAAATGTAGGACACGTATTGATGAACTGAACTGTAAAACACGAACCTGAAAGGCAGAAATTGAGAAGAATGGTTGGAAAGGAGGGGTGAAGAATGGAGTCTTAAAGGAATATTGGGAAATGAAGGAAACGTAATGGATATTCACAGAGTAAGGAAAGTATTATTATTTATTTATCTCCAGAATACAAAACTAAAAAACAGAAATTGATAGATGTAATGTTGCTACACACTCGTGTACAGTAGGTGGCGGTATGCACCTTGAAGTTGATTGAGGTCCGCCTTAATCGAAAAGAAGAAGAAGAGGAAGTGAGTTGTTCGGGCATGATCCTGCTGTCCACGTGCAGCTTTAGAAGGTACGTAATGATTCAGGGTTTCTTTTCATAAATGACTTTCTTTGAGTTGTTACGAACGACAACAAATAACATGGATATATTGGAACCACGGTGAATTCACGTTTAATTTGCCATTATGTCTCTTAAGCGTTTTTTCGTCTTTGAACCTCATTTTGTGGCGCCGCTGCACCAATTTGCGTTCACATATCAACAATTTAAAGTTAATCAAAGCTACTAACAAAACTATAAGCGATATAAACGACTGAACTCCGCCTCCATAGACAGTACACGTTAGTGTTCAATTCGGCGTGTGTCCTGTATATATTTTAATATTTTAAAAGGAAATTACCAGCTCACGTGGAGAATATCACGTCACAATTCGCGTTGTATTATGTGATCAGTGAATACAACTGAACTGAAAAACATGTACTCAGTTCTGCTCGGCTGCTAAATTAGCTTTGAGTGATACTTGGAGTTAAAGTGTTGTCTTAAACTCTGCTTCGTTTCTATGAATGTTGTCCTCACACTGAAGCTTCTGTGACACAAAGTAACATTTTTGTGACAATAGTGAATACTGATTCTTCCTTTCTGACTCCCCAGATGTGACCATGAGACACTTGGATCCATCAGAAAGAAATGAAGCACCACATGGCCTTCTCGGCAACTACAGGTATCTGCAAGAAGTCCATGACGATCCGTGCAATGGAGAGCGCCGTGGCCAGGAAGAAGCACCAAGATGTGAACGCTGCCTCCAACAGGAGGAGGAAGAGAACCGGCTCCCCGTCCGAACCCCTGGAGGCAAACGCGCTGCTGAAGAAGGTGAAATCGGTCGAGCCGAACCCGACCAGCACTTTGAACTTCTCGCCAGAGCCGGACCACCACCGTGTGACGGCAGTGCTCAGAGACAGCTGGGAGGTTGACAGCGGCTTCTCTGAGTGCAGCCCCCCCGCCAGCGGCCGCAGTTCCCCCTGCCTCGGTCCGAGGCCCCCGGCTGCCTCCGTGGTGGCGCTAGACTGCGAGATGGTGGGCACCGGGCCCGGCGGCCGCTGCAGCGCGCTGGGCCGCTGCAGCATTGTGGACTACCATGGCGACGTCTTGTACGATAAATATGTCCGACCGTGTCAGCCTGTCACGGACTTCCGAACGACCTGGAGCGGGATCCGCCGGCACCACCTCCACAACGCCGTGCCGTTCGCCCAGGCCCAAGAGGAGGTTGGCCCGGCCCAGTTCACCTTAAGATCCATTTCAGATGTTTGTTTTTAATGCATGACTATCAGCTCTGCCCAAATCTACAATGGTATATAAGGACTGGAGTACATTTCTTCCTACAAAATAAAACTGATTTTTTTTTTGAAAATTTCACAAATTTTGTAGAACAAAACAAAAAGCTTCAAAAGTAAAAAAAATTGCGAGAAAAAAAATAATCAGAAATTGCAATTAATCTTAGAAATTTTGTAGAAAAAACATGCAAATTTGAGTTTCAAAAGCTGGAAATTTGCGAGAGAAAACCGACAATTTAATATTAATGTCAGAAATATTTGAGGAAAAAAAGATTCTGATCTCCCAAGTCAAATGTTTGAGAAAAAAGAAAAACTTTTCAAAAAATTACATTAAAAATGGTACCTTACAATTTACAAATTTTATTTACGCACAACTTTTAGGTTGCATGCATAATTGTTTTGTATTTGCACACACGTTATTTTTGATAGAGGTCTTACCCCAAAAGTGGGACTTTTTTAACTTTCTGGGGTGTTTTTTCTGGAAAACTTCTCAAATTTAGAGATTTTTGGTGGAAACGTACTCTCTGTTTTTCTATCTGAATCGGTTTTACAAAGCAGACTGAAGTTTATTACTTTCAACCAAATATTCTTTGATCCAAATACTTTCCCTATAGCTCTGTATGTTTCCACATCTTTTGTTTATCTGGCATTTAGTTAAGACCATAGGAAAAAAAAACATATTTTCATAAACATAAGTAATTGTTCTCCAAAGCCATTTTTATTCTAACAAACTATTTGGACTGGTTTTAATGGTATAATTTTCCTGCTGCAGATCCTCGCTCTACTTGAAGGCAAGGTGGTGGTGGGTCATTCCATCTACAATGACTTTGAGGCGCTGCACATGGACCATCCCAGTCACATGGTCAGAGACACCAGTACGACCCGTCACCTCAGGCGCCTGGCCGGCTTCTCTCATGGCCGCCACTCGTCTCTTAAGCTGCTGGCCAACAAGCTGCTGAACCGGAGGATCCAGGTAAGAGCTGTGGACATAACCACCTCTGCACTTCTGTGAAAACAGCTGGTCAGCAAACTGGTCTTCATCATGCTTGAGAACTTCTCTGGGTCAGTTTACCCATTAGCATGTTCGGAAACTCGCGAGGTTTGCTAACATGCCGCCATTTTGTACCACCTACAAGTGGTGCGCCAATAAATCAACCACTGTTTAATTCCTAGGTTTTACGTAGCTTATTTTTCTCCAGGGATTTTTCAGTTAGGAAAAAGTTTGTGTTGCATTGAAGACATTCATTGTGTTCTTTTACTCGACGTTTGAGTCTAACGCTAACTAGCTGCTAATATACCCATGTTGATTACTGTCTAGTTTTTTTGCGTCTGTGTGAAATTATTTCTGGACGACGTTCCTCTTTGCCACTGGCTCACCCCCATTGGTACGTTGATCCTGACGCTGGTAAAACATAAAACGTGCCGTTTCCTTTTGTCCATTTCAGTTGTGATGCAGGTCTTAAATTTCATTCATGGTGGTCTTGAAAAGGCTTGCAGTGGAGACGATGTTGAAACCCTGTGACTGACTGACATGTGGGTCACTGTTGTCAACCGAGCGACTTTGTTGCAATATTTTGCGACTTTTCATTCTAAAGATATGTGAATAGTCGGGTCAGAAAAAAATTTGTGATTGGCCAGAAAACTGCAGTTGGTTCACGGTCACAATCTGGCCTTCCTTTATTAACGTGCACAAAACTAAAAAATTGTCGACTTAGCAATTTTTTGAAAAAATAATCCAGTTTCAATGTGACCAATCAAAAACAAACACCACATCCAAGGAGCAAAACTTTTAAGTTTTTTTTTCCCAAATTGTTGCGTTCCCAGAAAATGAGTTTATTTTCAGAATGTCAAACTGCTCAGTTACACGATGGATGGAAACCCAGTAAATTCCAGTGTTACTGAAACGTTCCATTATTTCAGCTGATTGAGACACATAAAATACATAAATTAAAGAAATTGAATTTTCTGCTGACAGCTACTAAAAAAAGCGCCATAACATTTAAGATTAGAATATTAGATGTAAACCAAATTACAAATAAAGTATTTTTAGCTGCCTCTTGGTAGAAGGTATTTATTGAGAGTAACACATCCTCCAACCTGGAGGAAGTGACTCTCCGAAAGCGAGCCCCACTAACAGTGCTGCCCCCTGTTGGCTGCTCCGTCCAGGCTGGAAGTAGAGGCCACTGCTCGGTGGAGGACGCCCGGGCCGCTCTGGACCTCTACAAGCTGGTGCAGGGCCCCTGGGAGCAGGAGATGGAGAGGAGGCTGGGCGACGGGCCGCCCGGCCACTCCTCGGATCACTACATGCAGGACGAGTTCTGGCCGGACGAGATTCTGACAGACGGCCCGTGAGGCAGAAAACGTCGTTCATGGCGAACGGTCGGGATCTCGGACTCGACTTCAGCGGTGGAATTTTCCGTCTTTTTTTCCCCTTCAGATGAAAAGGTTACAGGAAGTAAAGCGTTTTCATTTCCTTGTTGTGATGCTGAAAGTTAAATCATGGTGATTTCTGTTATATTTATTTTTAAGAATTTGATTATATTTTGGGTTAATTGTGTGGTTAAAGTTGAGGTTACAGTTCCCTGTTATCTGCTTTTGACTAAAAGTTGAGAAGCAACAGAATGTTTCTCCATGCAGAGTGGAATTAAATATGGATGAAACATTCATTCCTAGTTGAGCTACTAGTTTGGTGGAGACGGTGTTTGAAACGTGATCGTTGGTTGTATTTTGTCCATCAACCTTCAGATTGTGAAAAATAAAGCAGTTTGATTCAAATCTGTGTGATGTGGCTTTTTATATAAAGTACATTTAGATACAGTTACTTTTAACAGTATTAAGGCCTTTATAGACAGAAGAGGAAAAAAAAGTCAATTTCAATTAAAAAAAAAAACTTTTTTTTTAGATTAATTTCAGAAACTTTCTGCAAAAGTTTCAGGCTTTGTTTCCTCTACCATGTCCCTAATCCACTGTTGTAGTGCTGTACATCCTGCATCATCACATCTTTCATACAAAACTGCAGTGCAAAGTGCTCTTACTGATTGAAAGCAGCTTGTTGCACTCCCTAAAAAATAAAAGCAGGAAAACTTGAAGAATAAAATTACAATAAAGTGGATTATACTTTAAAAATAAGAATGAAATTGTTTAACTCCAATCATAGATTAATAAGCATCAGTTGTTTGCTGGTTTGTGTAGCTGTTGATACTAACTAGCCTGATTAACAGAGTTTTCTTAAACAACATACACTGGGATGATTGACAGCTCTAAACCCCCCCCCCCAATCTGCTTGGTTGTTTCTGACCACTGTGTATTTCTGTAGAAGGCAGAATATGCTTTTTTTTTTTTTTTTTTTTTTTAATAAAAACATAAAAGCTAAATACGTCAGCTTTCTCAGGACGAATATAAATACCTGAAATATTGAATCTTCATTTTGAGTCTCAAATATAAGCTGGAACAAACAGGACACAATCTAAGACGGGAAATAAAGAAACGAGATGGATACGGAGCAGATTAAACGTCGAATAAAAGCATTTTTGACCAAGAGAACTCGGGTAAAAGTTAAAAACATTTTGATTACGGAAATGTCCTCAGGACTTCAGGCTCTCTCTGCAGCATCGCTGGATGTTTCACTTTAGGAAGACAGAGAAACAACACATTTCCAAAACCACTGGTGTTCACATTAAGAACACATCATTTTAAAATCTCAACCTTCTGTCTGTCTGACAGATTTCCCTTTCTCAGCATCATAAAACACTGCAGGGTTGTCTGCTGTTGGGAAACATTTTAAGCGTGGGAGTCTCACAAAGAGCTGGACCAGGAAATGACATCATTTTATGTCCAAATCGGTTACAAAAACCCACCTTTGTGAGGTTGGACAGAGCCAGTATTTTTCCCTAATGCTCTTTAAACACTTAGTATCACAAAGAGGGATTAATCCACTGAAAACAATATAGATTCACCTTAAAATAAACACTCAACTTTGCCCACGTGGTGAATTAGTGTGTTAAGGATTGTTTTGCAAGTGTGAGTAGATAAAGCCGCTTTGTGACGACATGTTGGGAGAGCAGTGGCCCTCTTTTATTCCGCCAATAGCTTTAAACCCTGTTCTCTCTCAAACACACACACACCATCCGACAATAAAAATACGGATTTCAGAGCGGAGCCCCCGTGGAAAAGAGAGCCATTGTTTGTCAAATCCTTCTGATTTGGCCCCTCGAGCCGATTTAGCAGATTACTGGCTGGGTGCCTGCATGGACCAGCGGAACTGCCGGTGAGAAATTCACCCCAAAAGCAGTAAAATCTCATATTTTCTCATTCATTTTTGAGAACTGTAACGTAATGTTGGGGTTTGTTTTGAATCCATGTTTGGAGAACTGTGAGCTGAAATAGGAAATAAAATGCTGCCATATAATCGCACACCGCTGAATATGTGACCAGTTTTGTGGTCACAAAAAAATTAAATTCCATCAACAACGCTGTGTGGAAGAAAACAAACATTGTGAACACAACATCCCCAGACTGAAACATGGTGGCGGCAGCATCATCATGTAGGGATGTTTTGCTTCCCCTAGGAAACTTTGGCCTATAACCTTTCAGAGTAGCGATGAAGCTTCATGGAGCTCAACGCAAAGAAAATCCTTTTCCTGGAGGAAAACCTGCAAAACACTTGAGACAATAAGGAGGATTGAAAATGAGTTGCTGCGTAACGTTCCTGAAATGTGCTGCACAGACAACGCTCACCACTTCTCGTGGGTCATTCAAAGTACAAACGTTTGAAGTTGCAGCATGACGTTTGAAAGAATCTTAGACGGTTTTCCTAAATGTGAGGCAGATCGACAGAGACTCCACTTGTTGGGTCACTTGTCGCGTTTTGAGTCCTTCTGGAATCTGATCGGATCCTGAAGTTTGTTCCAAACATTGCGTCACCAGAAAACGTGCACCGGGTTTCCTTTCCTCAACAGGAGCTCCTCCGCCCACCTTCCCACACGCCTGCCGCCACTTTCACGCTGATTGAATGGAGAGAAGAAGAAAAAAAAAAAAAACTAAAATCTGATGGTCGTAATCTGGTGTGACGCCACTAATCCCAGGACTACAAAATCCCAGGTCCTTCCACCTCTGGGCCACACGGACGGGTCCGCTCTCCGCCTTCTCCTCCAGGTCTGCATCAGGTAAGCTTCCTCTCAGCATCATCTTCCTGCTGCTGTAGATGTCAGGCAGACATAAAAACCGTTCCCTTCAATCTTTCAATTCCAGAGAAAAGTGTTTTTCATCTTGTTGGAAAGGCTTCATCGGCAGTTTGCAGTCTTTTCGATTTCAAATCACTTGCAAAAATAGTTTTCAAGCTTTTGATAAACACAGGACTGAGATGCTGGCAAACCAAAAGCAACTATATTTATGTCCACTGAGTTCAGCATTGAAATAAAAAGGCCTGAAACCTCCTGACAAATCCTCCAGTAACAGGCGAGAGCCAAAAATAGCTCAGTCAGGTTTACCCTGAGAGGACAGAATAAAGGGGATTAATACGGAAGCACAAAGTGTTAATTGTTCTCTCATTTACAGGAATTCACAAAATCCCTGTTTTTTTTTGCAGAACGCGTAAAGAAGCCGATCGGAAGAGCAGGAAGCATGGCTGTAGTCGTAAGTATTTTCTCACATTTACTCTGTTAAAGCTGCTTTTGAAGCTTTTTTTTTTTTTTTTAAATAACTGAAGGCGTTGAATTTGGTCAAATGGAAAATATTAAACTAATATTAAATAGTTTTTACTCGCTCGACGTCTGAAGACGATCATTGTCGCGATTTGCTTCAGCTTCGCCATCCGCCACGGCGTTCCTCTTCGCCTGCGAGTCAAAAACAAAAACAACTCAAAAACCTCAGCATCCACATTGAGATCGGCCAGGATATTTACTAATGAAAGCTGGTTGGCTCGATTCTCGTGCCTTTTGTGACGTCACTTCCGCCAAAACAAACACAGGCGTTTCAGTTGGGTTTTTTTTTCTTCAGCGAAAAAAATGGTCATATCCTGCAACTGGAAAACCACGCTTCATCAAAAAGATGTGTTGTTACTCTGAGTGCACATTTGTTCGAGAAAGAAACTGTGTGGCGTCTTTAAAATCTGGGATCAAACTTAAAGGAGGGAAGAAGAGAACAACCGCCACCAGCAGCTCTGGTAGCCTGAGCTGCTATTCTGGCTTCCTGGTTCACACATCGTCCTCAGTGTGTATTTACAGGCTTTTCTGGACTCATGTGAGCAAGATTAATAAAAATCACGCACACACACACACACACTGATGCCTATTGATTATGGTCCAATAACACTGAAGAACAGGCTTTTCCTCCCCATGTGGATTAGATGTCTAAAGCTCAAAGAGCTCATGTGACAGAATTATATCGACATAAGCGTTCGCCTTTATCCAGAGCTCTGCACTGAGTGAAGGGTTCATTTGAGGTCTTTAAGGATGCTTTTGAAGAAGTGTTGTCAAGTGTGAGTCATCATACAAAGAAGAACTTCAGTGAATTTCAAATACACAGAATTTGTTACCAAATCCACACCAGGTCAGAATTATACGGACAAGCTCAGATATGTTACATCTCAACAAACATCTAGGAAGATGGCATATTAGGGCATGTTGTACATTTAAAAAAAAAAGTAAATTCCCACCAAAAAAACTCAAAATTTTGAAATTAATCTCAGAAAAAAACTTCAAGAGTCAAGCGAGTTTCCAGTTGTTTCTTAGAAAATATTCAATTTTTGGCTGAAATTTACTATCCATCTACAGTGGCACTAGTGCAGTGAACCCTCGTTATTCGTGGGGCCAAATCCGAGAAGTACTAACCTTTATTTTTTTATTGTATTTTTTTTACAATTATGACAAATGAAATACTCTATAATGCATTGAAACCAAACAATTAAACCTTTTTACAGGCCCAAGCATTTGTTTAACAAATAAATGTACTGTGTAAACGTTTTTTTTTTTTTGTTTTTTTTTTTACAAATAACTACTGTACTGCAAAATAATCATTTTAATCATCGATACGACCTGAAGGCTTCAAATGACAGAGATCAGCACCGCGACCCGAATCGATTAATCAGAACAGAAGAAAATGAAAAATGATCATTAAAACAGAGACTCTCCCCTGCAGCCTGACCGTTTAGCCAATCAGGACGCAGAACACAAAGCATCGAGCGCGTGAAAGGTGAACCGCGTTACCGCGAGACTTCACTGGGCTCCAATCGAGAACCGGTTGCTAGGAGATATGGCGCGTCGGACATAACTTTGATTTAGAGAATATCCAAGATGGCGTCGCAGCAAAAGCCCTCCAAGGCATGGTTACGTTACAAAAAACAAACAAAAAAGACGATTGTAGGCCCGGTTGCAACGTGGGCAAAGCTTTGATAACAACATAAGAAAGAAATGCCTCCATTTCCACCTCATTCACCTTTAGAAACATGAGCACAGTGGGGTGCTGCATTCAGGTCTCTAACCTGAATCCAAAATGCAGGGACTTCCATTTACAGGCCGAATCCACTTAGAAAACCAGAATCCCCAACTGAGTGCGGTGAAACCACAAGCTACTTGCTGAAAAGCATTCAAACCAAACACTAACAGGAGCGTGACAATTACTTACCACCATAAAAAGTGTCTTCTGTGCAGTAGACAAATTAGCATTTGACTGGATGCGGCAATAAGTGTTTATTTAAACTGCTCTGTTTAAAGGGGACAAACTGACCGAGCGACTCCCTCTTTCTCCTCAGAGTGGAACCTACCGCATGGTGTCAGAGGAGGAGCAGGCGCTCAGGGCCAAGCTGGAGCATCTCACCGTCAAGGACCACGGCCCCGTGTTTGGACCCTGCGCCAGCCTGCCAGACCACACCAGGCAGAAGGTATCCAGATCTGCCCTGTTGCTTCAATCCCTGTTCAACTCAACAGCTGAGCCACATCTTTACCTAATCGCTGAAAGGAAAATGCTCCTAAACAGGGCTACCGCTGGTTTCACCAACTCCAATTTAAGACTTTTTAAGGCCACTATGAGTTAAATTTAAGACTCGCAACACCACAGAAAACAAAATAAATAATATATTGCAGACGTTGGCAACAGAAGTGAGCCAATGGTTTAGACGAACATTGTCCACCCAACTGATGGTAAATTTTCACTTACCAATGATTGGATTGAGAACACTAGCTAGCTTTAGCATCTAGCTACCAGTACCTGGAGTCATCTTAAGTCAAAGAACAAAGTTAAAATATCAGTTTTGCATAATGGTAAAGTCCTGCAAAAAGACAACTTTGCAGGACTTTACCTGCAAAGTTCCCTTTGCAGGTAAAGTCCTGCTTCTAAATTGCTTCTTGTAGAACATACAATTCCTGCCAAATCAAAATTTAACACCAATTTATTTTAAACCCAATGAAATTAAGACAATTTAAGGCCTTAATTTTAGTTATGTAAATGTAAGACTTTTTAAGGATGCACAGGCACCCTGTTAAGTGTAATTTACAGAATATTAGTCCAAGTTTAAGTCAAATCCAACCCATTTATTATAATTTTGTCTTGTAGCTAAATAGAACAAACAACAAAACAACATAGCACTTCTTCCAATAACTCTTACAGTTCTGAACTTTTATAGGACCCTCTGGTCTGATGGATTACAGCTGCAGTATCATTTTTAAAACACTGATTATTAAAAAAAAATAATAATAAAATAAACCAACCAAGTCACTTCTGTTTCCCCTGATGTGTTTAAACTAATCTAAGTGAACTGTTAGCTAAATGTCAGGTTTGGCTCCCCCTGCAGGCCAAAGATGAGCTGAACGAGACAGATGAGAAGCGTGTGTCAGCAGCGAAGGAGCTCCGAGCCATCATTAAGGAGAAGGCGGAGGCCGGAGATGACCTGGCCAAGGGGGTGCAGGACACCTTTGGGGAGAAACCAGACAGTCTGCTGGTCCGCTTTATCCGCGCCAGGAAGTACGACGTGCCCAGAGCCTTTGACCTCATGAAGGGTCAGTCAAAACAACGAGCTGAAAGGCGCTTCATTTGATTTACCGATACGAGCGCCACCGTTAGCCACTTCAATTTGAAGATGCTCTCCATCTTTCAACATGGCCACCACTTTTGAGCAATTTAAATCAGTTATTGCTGTAAAATGTTCCCCCTTTTCATGACTTGGGCGAGCTTTATGTCACCTTGTATGTTTTCTACTCATCCTATCCATACAACTTTAAATAATATGCGGCAAAGTCAGATGTCAGAACTGAAGTTTCTCCGTTACAACCATTATGAAAAATGTCCACCAGAAAAAGGAGACACAGAATCAGTGAAATAGATCAGATTTTTTTATGGTTCCAAATATATTAGGTTATGATTTGACTCCAAATACAAATAAATATAGCTGGTGATTTTAGAGCAAAAATAAATCTTCCACGACACGCATGGTGGCCATTTTGAAAAAGTCCAAAAAAATATTCCATAAAATTTTCTGCTATACTCTACATATAAGAGCATTTTTAATCACATGAAACAAATCCATTTCATTCTCCAAACATAAATTGAGACAAGATACTTTCTAGTTCATTGTCAAAGATCCAACAGGGCCTGACTGACCTTTCCCCTTGGCTCTTTGTTCAGGATATGTCCGCTTCCGGAAGGATTACCCTGAGCTCTTTGAGAACCTGACCCCAGAGGCCGTGCGCAGCACCATCGAGGCCGGCTACCCCGGCATCCTCCATAGCAGAGACAAATACGGACGTGTGGTTCTGCTCTTCAACATCGAGAACTGGGACTACGAGGAGATCACCTTTGACGAGGTGGAACCCTGAAAGGACTAGTCAGGAGAAGCGTAGCTCAGAGATTTTGAAGGTTTCACCAGCTCAAATTTAAGGCTTTTTAAGACCAATATGAATTAAATTTAACACCTGTACCACAACATAAATGTACACTACAAAACTGCACATTTTATATAGGAGAGCCAAGACAAATTACAACAAATGATTGCATCTATCACTTACCCTTGATGGATGCAAGAAAGCAAGCTAGCTGGCCAGGGAATATTAGCAGCTAGTTAGCAGTAGCTTCAAACATACTCAAACGTTTGCCAGTCAGAAAAGTCCAGCGAGAAAAATAATTAGAATAATCCTGCCACAAAAAAAAAATGAAATGAAATTTACGGCCTGTGATTAATGTTTGTTTTTCAGAAAGACTTTAAGACATTTTAAGGCCTTCACTTCAGATGCATTAATCTAAGAGTTTTTAAGGATGCATGGATACCATGATGACTGGGAGCAGATTTGATGAGGCTTTCATGACATTCTCTCGTGCGTTCAGATTCTGCGTGCCTACTGCGTGATCCTGGAGAAGCTGCTGGAGAACGAGGAGACTCAGATCAACGGCTTCTGCATCATTGAAAACTTTAAGGGCTTCACCATGCAGCAAGCGTCAGGAATCAAACCTACCGAGCTCAAGAAGATGGTGGACATGTTGCAGGTAGGGCTGTAGGCCAGCTTTCCTTTCGCCCAACTCTTTAAGGATCGGGTCGCCTCACCGTGTTGCTCTTGGCTTCCCACCAGGACTCCTTCCCGGCCCGTTTCAAGGCCGTGCACTTCATCCACCAGCCATGGTACTTCACCACCACCTACAATGTGGTGAAACCCCTCATGAAGAGTAAGCTGCTAGAGAGAGTAAGTCACAACCTTCCAACAACTCTGTCTTTGCAGTGTTGCAAAAACTCATGCATGTGTTTTGGTCTATTTTCTAGTCCAAATATCTTAATGGATTGAAATAAGGCAAAACTAACTTTGAAGGAACTTTTCAATAAGATAGGAACTTGTTTTAAGTCGGCGATTCCTTAATATTGAGGAAAATATAAAATATAATCCACTGGCAGATTACTATACCATAGCAAGACATGTTTCCCATGTAAAAAGGAAACAATCTTCCAGTGGAACCAGTACATTTTTCTTTATCAATATTATGAAAATATTTACTTAAAGCTAGCTCTTGTGTCTTGCTGAAAAGTTACTGATGAGTAAATATTGTCTTATATCAAATGTGCTACTATATTTTCTATAGATTAGCTTCTAAATTATGTGCAGAGGCTCCAAGAGCGGTTTCATATTGATCAGAGATGCTTAAATGCTAGAAACATCTTTTTCTCCACCATATGACGTTAATTTCACCATGTGAGTGAATTCCTGCACAAACGTCCCTGACGGCTGCTCTGTTTGCTGTAGGTGTTCGTCCATGGAGACGAGCTGGAAAACTACTACAAGGAGTTTGACCCCGAAATTCTTCCCTCTGAGTTTGACGGAAAAGGTTCTAAGTACGACGGCAAGGCCACGGCGAACAAGCTGTTCGACTAGTCGTCATAGAAAGCTGTCGCCCAGCAGTCTGACAGCTGAAATGCAGTGAAAAAAAAAACATGTAACAGAATAATCCAGCTGTGTGGATGTAGGCAGAATAGTTATGAATGAAACATAGGAGAGCGTGAGAAAGGCTGAAGAAGAGTCCGTTTTCCAGATGTTCTGACAAAACCCAGTCCTGCAGGAAGGGGGCGGTACTGAGCTGAAACCTTAGCTTTCTACAGTCTCTAACTCATAAATTTTGAGCAGAAATTACAATTTTTTTTGTTATAAATCTTTTACCCAAAACATAGAAATGTAAATTCACACGGAAACCTGATTGGAATATTTCTTTCTGCTTTAAAAGAGAAACTGTTGTCCACTTCCCATTGATTTTCCAACTCAACATTTTTGAAGCTGAAAAAGAAAGTCCCATCAGGGATGATATTTCAAACACCATGAATTGGATTTCAGGAGTTTCAATGTTGTTTTATACACCAGATGAGACTTAAAGTATGACATGTCTGTCAATTCTTTCTTTAGATTCACTTTCAGAATAAAACCAAGTTTTACTCGGCATGCCACCTTGTACACCAACAATGTCAATAAATGTACAATAAACTGTATATAAATATAACTTTTGGTCATTTTATTAAGAACTGTTGAGAACAAATCATGAATGATGAGATCCATAAAGCAGAGGGTTGATTAAACCTTTTTGTAACAGACCCGGAGAGATTCATGTTTAACAAAGAAAAGAAACAAAAATGATTATTGATCAACAATAGAGGCATAAAAAAACTGAATCATCTTCTGACTTTCAGTAACGCCTACCTCTTCATTTGAACAGTATATAAAATCTACAATTGCACAGAATAATAAAAATTTCTTAAAGGAACATCAGATTTTTTTTTTTTGAAAGGGGTTCTGTGAGATTATAAGCAGTTAATATTTTACCTGTGGTTTAAAGCTTTCCAGTGGAACCAGATCTGTATTTATCTGGCATAAATACAGATGAATAGGTTCTGGAGGCTAACACGTCTTCAGACAAAAAGGTGGTCGAGGTGGTTATTTTGAAAAGCACTTTATGAACCTTAAGTCTGTCTTCAGCTGCATTTGGCAGAAGCTAAAGATTGTTTAAATGGAAAACGGAAAGAGGGGATGGTGCCTCACTGATTATCCTCTTCAGTGAAATATGCTCAACAGATCATGTGAGACAGAAACGGTGAGAACGTTTTATTTGTTGGGATTTATATCTGACTGGAAGCGCTACATGTTTCGCTCGGTGTTGCAGTAGACTTATCTACCTCAGGTAAGATATCAACTACTCATAGCTCTTTTTTTAAGTACACTTCAACAGAAGTGTACTTAAAAAAAATTCAGGACAGCATAGTGAACAATTGAGTAAAAAAAAAAAAAAAAACTACATAAAAAACATTTTCCAAATTCAAATCTTGCCTGTTTCCTACACAATGTTGTTGTGAGAAATTAAGCAACTTTATGCTTTTGTTTCAAGTATTTTTAGCTAATGAGGGGAATGCTAAGCTAACCAGATTGAAAATAAACCTCCAAAACTATTTCAATCTTGCATTTACCTCTAATCCAAAACACTCCCTAAGCCACATATCTTGTACTTGCAGCTTTTAATGGAGCTGTAAGAGGCCAGAAAACAAAAACAACAACTCACAGGGTCGACTGCATCGTTTTGTAGGATTAAATTGAAAACCATAGTTAAATAAATTAAGGCATTCTTGGAATGGTGCAAACTGTGCAGTGTCTGTGTTGCCATGCAAAAAACATGTTGGTTTAAAGTGCTCGTATAGTATAGTACAGTCAGGATGTCCTAATGATCACAACAATTCAGGTATAAACATTTCTTTTAATGTTTTTTTTAAGTGTTCTGAGTAGCTGATATGTTTAGTCATTTTAAGGAAATTATGACATCTGAAAAAAAGTGTAAACAATAAAACCAGTCCTGGTGGTTCTAATCGGAAACAAACAAGTTTTCCAACAGGAACGAACGTTGGTCTTGATTTCTAAAAGGACTTTTTTATGTAAAACTTCACTGAATTTTATGCGGTTTTAAATACAAATATATTAGCATTCGTTAGTCTGTCTGATCAAGTGTTTTTATTGGCGTTAGTAACGAATAATTCGCTGATGCTCTGCAGAGTACCTAAACTGACCCAGCAGATTCGAAGGCCTCGGGACGACCGTGCTGCTGGTCAAGTTTTTGCGTGTCGGCGTCACCCACCGAGGTTCAGTTTGAGTTTCCGCTCCCCTGGCAGGCCTGCTGCTTCTTCTCCCAGTGGCAGATAGCATCTGTGTACTCCACTATGACCTTGTCCATCCAGGTGAGGGGCTGTGGGAAAAGAACAGCCCCCTCAAAGAAGCCCATGTGGCCCCCGTGCTCAGTCAGGGCAAACATCACGTTGGGCATTTTCTCTAATGTACAAAACACAGAAAGAGAGAGAGGAAGGTCAAATCTCACACACAGTTCTGGTAGGATTGCTTACGTCCACTTATTAAGGTCATGAATGTCAGATTCATTTTGTGTTTTATAAATAATTATAGAACTTGGAATTTTAGATTTTTCTTTAATTATGTATTTTCTTGGCACAAGGTGTCATTTTATAGCATAATCAACTAACTATGGTAACTTCAGTTGTTTAAAATATGTATGCATATTTGTATTGTATATCAGACATTACTAAATGAAATCTGACTCATAGTTTTAATGCCTTGAAATTTGGCCTCTGTACCTTTAAATAAAAAACTGCTCTTTTTGAAGCTCTGCCTTCAGGAAGTCATGACAACATGGCTCCTCTATTAACCCTTTAACGACATGTTGTCTCTTATGAAAGATAAAGTGGTACAAAAATTTAACATTACTGCTTCGCCTGATTTATTTTTAATTATGAGCATAAAGTTATATTAAAAGAATACAGTCAAAACATTACCAGAACAAAGTCGTATTCTGCCAATATTCTGATTATATTCTTGTAATTAAACAACTTCAATACTGAATTGTACAACTCACAGAAGGGTTGATTGAAATGTAAAAAAAAAAAAAAAAAACATTTCTAAAAGATATTTTCTGTCTTTAGAAATGTCTTTTTTTTTTAGAAAATAAATGTTCAAATTGTTAGAAAACTTTGAACACCCCAGGCTCATTTTGGACCACTGGTACCTTCAACTTCCATCTGCCATTCACAGTTCAACTAAGGTCTAACATGACATCATAAACAATAATAAAAGTTTAACACAGTAATTTGATCTGCTGCTAATGGAAACTAGGTATTAAGGCATCTCCAGTCTTACTTTAAGAAATGCATAAAACCAATGCTAGAGTAACCCAACCCTTCCAAACTTTCCTACTGTCTTATTAAATTAGCAAGAGGCTTTTGGACACGCCTAGCAAATACAAAGTGTCCTGTTGGAGTCTTATTTCAGCTGGCCAAGCCCGTTTTGCTTCTTACAATGTAACCTCTGTGATAAATAAATAAATAGGGCATAACATGATGAAAACAAAACTTACATCAAACTGGCTGCTAATTTTAAAACAAAAAGGCTAAATATTATTGAAGTTGTGCGATTCAAACTATAGTTTTTAAATCTATTTTTGAATCAGGTTATGTGAATCTTATAGTAGCAATATACTATATTCCTTAAAGTTCGCTTCTAACAGGAAGTGACAATTTCCTCTAAAAAATAATAAAACAATGGTTAACAGAGTATTAATTTCAAAATGCAAAAAGACAAGAAAAAGAAGAAAAGGAGCATTTTGTTAGCCAGAAAAATGTATGATTTTTCCCCCCATGTTTCCACTCCTATTTTGTCGCTGAGATTAGAAGATCTTGCCTTCAAACTAATCTTTAGCTCCAACCACAGATTCATGTCAGGCTGGGCCGCTTCACAAGTTAAGAGTATTATCAATTCGAACAAACATGTTGGTAAACATAAATAAAGCTCTCAATCTAAATCTCTCAGGGTATGATTAATTGTGGCCTAAACGGTATATGCCATGTTATTGTTACAGCAAGTGGGAGTAATGCTGAAGGAAGGAAAGCTTAAGTAATAAGAACCCAGATACCTGATAAATATAGCAATTTCATAAGGGAGTAATGAAAAATGTTTGGTTTGTTGCAAGGTATGCCAGTATTCATTTAATCAGAGATTGGGTCGCAGAGGCAGTAGTCCAACTTAATAACGATCTAATGAAATTGAGAAAAAAAAAATCACATCATCTGCAAAAGGTGACAATCTGAGGCCACCAAGACAGACTTTCTCAACACCTAAAAACTCTGTCCAAGAACATAAAATTGATCACAAAGGGCAAAGAGTCCAACTCTCACTACAGGCAATACAGACCAAATTCTGACGGGTTGTACAGGATCCTAACGGCCCACATCAAAGGGTCTGGTACCACATGTTCCAGTACTGTAGTCCTTTTATGAACAAATCTGGTCTTTCTTCCAAACCTTTGGCCTGTACTCTATATTTTCTGTGACAATTAAAGCCTTTGACAAAGACAATAAATTTGACTTGATAGCACCATAGAGAAGACCAGCCATTGTCCCTTGAGGTACACTGCCCTGTAAGTGTTTTCCTGCTTCTGCAAACCTGATTCCAATTGATAGGCAATTAACAAGCTTTTTGCTGAAGTGCATTCCTTTGAATTAGGTGCTTTAAAGCAGGGAAACAACTAAAACATCCAATGTGCCCGGTGGAACAGGGTTGCCATTGAAAATGCCACGCTTCAAGAAAATAACTTGAAGAGTTATTTAATGGTTATTTACCAGTAAAGTTCAAAAACAGGATGAGTGATTACATAAACACGACTAACTGAATGACAGTGCACTGTATTTTTCATGACTGCCATGCTTACAATTCTCAGTAAATGCTCTTTCTGGCCTTTGTTGTCTAACTTTGGTTTTCTGGATAAGCGTTTCTAAGCATGTCATTAAAGCTGCCTCCGTCTTGTCTGACCAACAATAAATAATTAAGGTTCCCAACCTTTCAGAGTGGATGAAGGGCATGGTTAAACGTACCGCTGAAGTAAGCAGCGACTGAATCCAGTTTCTGTACAGAAGAAAACCACGAGCTCTTTGCCCTTCTATTACTCTAAACACCTCGGGTTGATTTCCTGTTTACTTTCACATTTGATCTCCAGTTTTCTGAAGAACATTCTGTAAAAACCAAACATCTTTTGCCATCCAACTTCATGGATCTTGAGTTATTTTGCAAAGAAAAGTGGCAACAAGCTCAGGATAATCAATAACTTTGAAGAATCTAAATTAAAGACTTTATATGCAATTTAATATTCAATATTTTTTAATTTGAATCGAACTGAATTAGATGTTCAAAACTGATACTAACATAAATGTGACTAATACATGATGTTGGAGCATTGTAGATCCAGAACGCTTAAGAAAACTCCAGATAACAAAGGACCTATACCGAAGAGCTCACGTCTTCGTCTAAAACAGATGAAGTTTAGAATTTCACTCCTCGCTGTCAAACTTATGACACACTTATGATTTAGCCGCACGTGGCAGCCACTGCATGTCAATTTCTGATACAAGACAAGGCAGTACACGCCGGCCGGGGAGACACGCACAGACCCACACAGTGCTCTATATATAATCCAGCAGCCAAGGTGGATCACATGTCTCTGAAAAATTCAACAAGACTCCCTCGGCAGAGCAGCGTTAAGGAGAACAATGCGGCAAAACTTTACCAACATTTAAGATAATATGATGTGTGTCCAATGGCAAAGTAAGAACTTTTGCTTACAAAAGACAGTTTTGTAATTTCTTGGAGAGTTGAGCAAAAAAAGACCAAGTTCCAGCAAAAGATCTGAAATTTTATCAATTGGAGGAAATTCAGGCTGTATTTTTTACTTGGCAGTTAAAAAAAACATTAAATGCTAAGTAACCGGTGGCGTGACCTTTTCTGTTTTATCTATTGTCTTCACTCCAAGCCAGTGTTAGTTTTTTTGTTTTAAAGCAGTTATGAGGCACGGTGGCAAAACCCGAAGCTGCTGCTGCACAAATTACTCAACGGGTTGTTGCTAGGTAATCAAAGCCTGAGTGAGTGAGCTGATGCCACCAACCTTCGTTAGCTCATTGTGACTTGTGTAGCTAAAGCTTTTCCTCTATCAACATGCCCCAGAATGCCATGCGGTTCTGGACCGGAGTTCAGTGAAATCACTGAACTTTCTATCGGACAAATTTTCTATTGATATTGATGACGTTTCTATTGTCATACATTGCTATTCATGTTTTGCCCAGACTGTGGAATACCAAATAAGAGGAAGATCAAAGTCTATGCTTTTTGTGTCCTATGCACCCTCATCTGCATAGGAACCACATGAAGGTTTGTTTTGAATTTACCACTAACCTGCAAGCCTGTAGGGTATAGCCAGAAGTGACCGATGAACTAGTGGATCGTCAGAGGAGTTGACCAGGAGGAGCGGCACAGATACCTGAAGGCAAGTTTCATGCTCGGTTTACTCCTGCTAGCTTAGTTTTAGTAGCATTCATTCAAACATTTATCCTGCAGAAACCAAATCAGACATGTGTCTCTAACAACTCTATAATAGTTAATCAACAGGAACAAATGTTCAAAAGCACTGATGGCATACAGTAGAGGTTTTACTACAGACATTTTAGACTCACGTTGTGGATGTAGTGCACACAGCTCTCCTTCTCGTAATACTCCCTTAAGGAGTTGTAGCCGTGGAATTTTCTGAAGTGTGATGACAGCAGAGACAAAGCGTTTGGAACAGATCTGCATCCGTGTTGACTTTTTAATCCCAACAACATTTCACCTCATGATGTTGTCATCTATCTGCATCAGAGACGTGGCTGTGCACAGTTTGTTGAGGTCTGTGTCTCCAATGTTGCTAGAGGTCATGTTCAACAAGCTCCCCCTGGGAACCGAGATCAGCGTAGAGATAACTTAGAGCATTAAGCCAACTAAATAACATCAGCGACCACATTAACACATCTCAATCTTTTCACATCTAGATGGAAGGCATAATAGCTTCCGATTAGGTGATAATCTGAAATGTGTCTGACCTGTGTGACAGGATGAGCTTCTTCATGTTGCCTGCCAGCACAAAGTTATAAAACCTTCGACACTGATCCCACTGGAGGAATGTTTCCTGAGCCCTAAAGACACAGAAGACACATGATACTACACCGCATGAGGGAAATTCCTTCTTACAGTGGCTTGCCCTTAAAACTTTCTCACGTTTTGTCACGTTACAACCACAGACGACCAAGTTCATTACAGTTAATTAAAAATAATGAAATAACAAACCTGAAGTTGAGAAAACATTTCAACTGAAGTAAATACAAATGGTAAACTGGAACTATATTGTATGTTTATAAAACTAACTAAAACATACGGAAATTGTAAATATAACATCCTTCGTTTTGTGTTTAGGAATCTATTTATTAGCCTGATGTGAAATGAGGTGACTTGAGCATCTTTAGTTGAGAATTCATTACCCTAAAAACTAAGAAAAACTAACTGAATTAGGCAAAAAGTCACGATGAAAATAAAAGTAAACTATAACATAAAGCCCAAAACTAAGATGAACCGGCAAAAATATTATTGTGATGCGAGTCCTGTTGACCGACCTGAGGACGCTGTATCCCTGGCAGACGCTGACGCAGCACAGCACCTTCTCCTGGTTGGATCGATTTTCTCCCAGGAACTTACACGCTATGTTCCCACCCAGACTAAAGCCCACCACCACCAGCTGCGTTTGGGGGAAAGCGCGCTTGATGTAGGCCACCATGGCCCCGAACTCCCAAGTGCACCCTGAATATATATTACAAAAACAAACAAACAAAAAAAACATGCTTTTCTGAATGCATGGCACGTTTTACATTAGAACGTGTAAACCCACTGGGAATGAATCTGTTTCTCTAGTGCAATCGCCTTGCAGTGCAGTATGTTGCCAGCCCTACTTACCGTAGGTAAACATGCGCGGCGAGGTGAGCTCCATGTCAGGAAGAGCTCCCAGATGGTTAAGGACGGCGCAGCGGTAACCCTGCCGCTGGGAGTAATCCACAAAGGTTCGAATGTAGTTCTTCTCGCTATGGTTACCAATCCCAGGGCAGATTACCATGGTAACATCGTCTGACATGCAAACAAAGAAAGCGAGTGAAAACATCTAACTGGAGTCATGAGTGTCAAAGTGAACAGCGTGCGTGTGAGTTGATGAATCCTCCCCTCATGGGAGTTCAGCAGAGTTGATCCCACTCATGCATTCTTTTAGCCAGACGTGCAAACCGGGGAGGCAAAAGTCGGGACTCAAAAGAGAAAACACTGATTGCTGGAAAAGTCTTTCAGAAACTTACAGAAATGACTTGTCTGCTTTAAAAAGTTGTACAAGAAAACAAGAAGTTAGCAGTCGTCCATACTTTTAAACATCTCTGAAAAAATACTTCCGACAGTCAGTGGGGGATTTTTGATATGTGCTGTATGGGCAGCTGCCCAGGGGGGCATAAGACAGGCGAGGACCACTCAAAAATTAGAAAACAAAATATATCTTATCTGTCAGTTGTCCCCTGAACGTGATACTGATTGTATGTGTCTGTACAATCAGATGCATACAATCATCGTATGCATGATTGTATGCACATGGAACCGTAGTATTCCACTACCACGGTTTTAGTGGTGGAATAAGTTCAACTTCTTTGTTAAATTACCTCCTTTTTGCTACAAATCAGATAATTGTTTGTATTTTAATTGGTATCTATGCAGCAGGAGGGGCTTTCTGCAAGAACCTGGACTGTCGTTAGTTATAAAAACTAGTTATAAAAGTGTGATTCATGTTGATGTTCTTATTTTACATTTGAGCCATTGCAGATATATTTGTATATAAAAGATTTTTGCACCAAAAATCTCCGAGAAATTTTTAGATTAACCTTATACATTTTCAAGAGAAAAATTGAACGTTTCTAAATTTTAAAAGTTTAAAATTTGCTCAAGAAAATCACAAAAATTTTGAGATTAATCTCAGAAATGTTCCATAAACACACTTAGAAATATCTGATCTTAAAAAGTTTAACTGAGATCTCAGAAATTTCCTTGAAAAAACATGGAAAGCTCTCCGTTTCCAAAGTAAAATATGTTTCCCTTTAGAAAGATTTCTGAGTTTGAAAAGTTAACATTTTCCTTTTTGAAATTCTAATATTTTTGTTTCCAATATTTTTCTAGATTTCTGAAATCAGTCTCTAAATTTCTGAGTTTTTTGACCAAGGTTTATCACTTCTATTGTTTTCTATAGACCTAATACATCATCAGGCGCAGTTCTTCGGAATCGCTCAGTTTTTTCTGTTTGTCTAATGAGGTGTGTTCAGTGAGAAACATCCTCCTTTAGAAACGCATACTTCGTCTGCAGACTCGCTAATCACTGAAGTCATTTTGCTACCGACCTCCTGTGCTGTGCTTTCCTAGAGCTTCAAAGAGGTCAAAGGTGGCTGTGGCTCCATCCTGCATTGGGAGGAATTTGCGAAGCCCGCAGGGTGTTGGAGTGTTGATGCGCCCCATCTTGCCGTACAGAGCCGTCTGGAGGTGACCGCTCTTTCCCCAAAGCAAAGGAGGAATGTACCTGAAGAGAGTCATAAGCTCTACATTATAAAAATCATCCAGGTTAGCAACTAAATCTGAAAATCTCTCTAAAACTCACTGTTTGGACAGCATTGGGCAGGACTTGAGCAGGTAGCGGCAGAGCAGCGTGTCCTGGCTGATGACCTGCGGGGCCGCGGTCGGGCTTGTCAGGTTGAGACAGCGCACGACGACGTAGAGGACGGCGGCCACCGCAGCCAGCTTCATGCCGTCAAACATTGCCGGCAGCTCAGAGCCAAAGGTCTGCATGTCGCTGTCTTCCAGGATCACCATTGTGAGAATTTTAGACCTGCAGGTTGAGCATAAAATTGAAAAAAATTTAGAAAACACGTAGAAGTGTGTAGATTTCTTGAACTTTGACCTAGCAATTAAATGTAAAGTTTACTTATCTCTTACACCTGAGACCTTCAGAGAAAATCCACATTTATGCAAACATTACACTCCACTTACTAAAACTGGACTCGATACAAGATTTTCATCTGTGAAAAATTATGAAAACTTAATATTCTTTTCCTGCCACCTCACCATTAACCCTGTTCTGACGACACATAAAATAGTAATAAAATACACTGGAGACTCTAATTACACTCAAAGAATAAGGATGTTATTACAAGAGCAAGTTAGCATATTCCTAGAAGAAATAGACATAGATATTTAGACATATCTATGTCAGAAATCTAAAGAAAAATTCAAAGATTTTTGTTTCTTTCCTCAACATTCACTTAAAAGGCTTCGGACAAAATTTTAGATTTTAAGCGAAAATGTTGAGTTTGTTTTTTGGACACTTTTATGTCAATTTCTTGGGTTCAAAACATGTGATACATAGAAAAATAGCAAAAGTATCAATAACATGTTTTTTTTTTTTGTCTGAAAATGACAAACACAAGGGAAAGGTGCTTTGGAGAAAACAAACAAATCCGTTTTTGAGAAATGCTGATACATTTTTTGGTTTAACAAAAAATGTTAAACCAAAAACATTGGTTTTTGGCTACTGACGTTACTCTTTTAGAAAGAGTAACACTAGCTACTCTGTGGAAAATAGTGTTCACAAACATTGTAGAATACAATGGTAAACAACCAACTATTTAAAAGCATCTGTTATTAACAATGATATTTCTCATTGACTCATAGTGCTGCTTTTGAGATTGAGCTAATACAGCTCAATCATCCCTGTATCAGATTGAGCTGCAGTCCAGTTGTAACCATATTTTTTTGACGGGCTGTTTTTGATCCAAAAAAGGTTTTTGAGTGTCTTTTATGAGTAATCAAAAGCAACAGAAGCCTACGCTAACAGGTCAGTGTTTCAAACCTAAAAAAAAAGATGATCAGCATTTTGTAGTGATTAAAAAAGAATAAAAGCCTGCACACCCCTGGTGAAATGTATGAGATGTAAAAAATAAACAAGACTTTCATTGAAATATGTTACATATCTCACAATTCCACAACAAAATGTACAAACTGTTACAACATATTTTTTAAAAAATAACAAAATGAAACCGGTCAGGGAGAAACAACGATCACTGTCAGGAATTTCTGATTGATACAGACTGGTTTCTACAGGTTACAGCGACATTCTGTATTCTGCAACACAAAAGCTTTTTCTTCACAAGAAAACATCCAGACATGGCTAAAATCACATAATGATGACAGCATAATGCTTAACTAGAACTTAGGAACACCTCTAATTAATTTCCAAGCAGTTTTGGCCTTAAATTTTCAGAAGGTTTCTAGAGATTTGAAGATGAATGAGTTAATTAAAAAAAAAATTTAACTCATGAGTTGATGTCGGAAGTCAAAAATAAAGAAAAGAATGGATTCACTAGAGAAAACTCAAAGTTTTGGAAAAGTCTGGGATGCCAACAGACTTTTTACAAAAGAAAGCTTAATGCTGAATTTGAATGAAAATGTACTTTAACAAAGCATACACATATCTTTTTTATTCATTTGTTTTTTTTTGTTGTTTCTTTTTCTTTCTTTTTTTAAAGATTTTGCATTAGAACAAATCTGCCTATTTTCAGCTGAAAAATGTAATGAAATTATTTATTTTGGTTTCATTTCTTTACATCTTTACATGAGTTTTTTTTTTTACAAGAAACTCATGCCCGCAGACTATTACATCTATTTTATATACAAAGTGTATTAAACAGGAGTGTACTGACAACACAAACTGCCTCCAAATCTAACCCAGTCAGTGCAGTGATTCTACCATTTAAAGCATTACTTTTTTAATACATCAGCAAATATATGTAGCATAAATATGATTTGTTATCAAAATTTCTGGAGGTTTTCTTCTATTTAATTTATAAACTGGTGACTCCCAGAGAAGTCCCGACTCTTATTTTGAGAACCACTGGCTCAGCGTTACAACTTCAGCTCCATATAAATAAATAAGCTTCGCCTAATTAGCTTAACAATGGTTATTATCCTTCTGGTAATTATGGACGATTTAACCAGGGAACAGCTCGCTCGTTTGTCCTTTCATAACTTCAGTACAGCTCTAAAGACATTTCTCGCCATATAATTACAAATTATGTGCATTTCGTGTTTCTTTAGTCCGTAAATAACTAACGACGAAGTTCGCGCGAAGGAGTTAAAAAACTGTGAAGCAAGACTTTTGACTCACCTTTCTGTCTGAGCTGGGATTTTACCTGGCAGCCAGGGAAAACACAAAATACAGAGAACTTTAGATAGTGATACACTAAAAAAAAAACAAACAAACGAAAACAAAACGTTTACTGACAAGAGAAAACAGAAATTCTCCCAGGAGTTCCGTCCAGAAAGCCCGGCAGCCTCAACAGGTTTCTGGCTCTCCGTCCGTCTTTGGCTCCAGGTGAAACTCAGGACAGAAACTGTGTTTCCAAGAATCCCAAAAGCCGACGCTGGCGTCAAAAATTTCGAAACCTAGTAGTTTTCCAAAGTTCAGAAAACGGACACTTCCGGACTTACCATGGCGTTTCAGAGTCTGTCGGAGTTGTAGCTTGAGTCACCGACTCGCTAGCAGCTCCGTCTCCACTTCTCACCGCGGAGAAACTGACCAGCAGAGTCGCGAGCTCAAGTTGCCTTCAGACTCCCTCCATAAAGCTCCGACGTTACGCTTTTGGTCCTCTCACAACACTGGAGACGCGATTTCTACAACACATTTAGTAGGATTTAAACACGTTGCTCCACTCGCTCTCGAGTAACGTAGGTGTTATGAGTTTACTCGTCCCTTCCGTACCAGGTAAATGTCCGATTTCTGTGGAGTGAGTTAGCTGTCCCCCTGATAAAACAACACGTCCAACAACCCCAAAAGGCACCACAGCAGACAGCAATACTTCCTACTGAACCGTACTTCAATTTACAGTAACTTCCCTTCCCAGAGTCACTGGTCAGACACACGCCACATGACCGCTCAACACTAATGTCACAAATATGTGCACTAATGACAGAACATACTTACATAATCCTTCTGAATAACACTCGACTTCCAGCGTGTTAAGTTTGTGACAGAAGTTCACAAACTAAAAACGTATAGTAGATTCCATTAAAAGTACAAATAAAAGCTCTAAGTGGATTAAATCTGAGTGATCGGATCCATGAAAAGTTGCAAAGACTTTGAATATGCAATCCGCGGTGAAAACAAAAGCCAAAACTTGATGAAAGTCAGAGAGTAACAGCAAAACAGTCACATCGTTATGTAGTATAAATCTCTGCAGACCAACTTAGACCAAATGGGTTAGGCTCAATTCTAAGTGTCCTATTTCACATTGTTTAAACTATTCTACATTTTTACCATATGATAATAATATAACATAAGCAGAGTATTTTGTTAAATTCAAAAATAGAAACGTTGCACACATTTAGCTGGGGATGAAGGATGCCCAAGTCACAACTGTGACGTTTAACTTGTTCATTTTTTTTAAATAGATAATATTTTTACAATAGATATAAATGAAAACAATTATCTCAGGTTCTGAATGCCAAAATCTCAGGGTGTTGAAATGTGTTGTGGCAACACAAAATGACAACATATTTTCAATTTTAAATGACATATTTATGTATTATAAATAAATTACAAATGTCTGAATATTACTGCTTCAAAATATGGGTAACGTATAAAGCAGCGCTGTTGAAACAACTGAACAATAAAACTTTAGGAATCTGAAATCCCCAAGTTTGAAGTATTCCTAGCCAAAATGTTACTTTTCAACCCTTAATTAAAAACCCCCAAGACAATATTATGAATTCTATCTCTTTACCTGCACAACAATAAATAAAACATGTCATATTTTACGTTTCGCTTATCGTTTGCAGACGTATAACTTTTTGGCATCTCTGATTGATGCCCTCCTCACCATCCAGCCTGGCTCAAGTCGTGCTATTGAAGTGGCTGCTCACACCTGGTGGTGTGGGGGCCCACATCTGGGGCCCACATTAGCCCCACACCTGGGCCCACATGTATGAGTGCACATACAAACATGGGTTTTGGTGCACTGACACAAACCCTCGTCAGTGCGCCAGTGGTTAATCTCGTCCTGTTGATGGTTGCTGTCACTGTCGAGGAAATCTAAAATATCAAACTTGTCACCTTGTTTACTGTAAATTTTGTGTTTATCGCTTGATGTTACTTTCAAATAGTTTAAATAATATGTCAAATATTTTCCATTTAGATTTTCACTCATGCAAGATTAAAATCAATAGCCATGATAACACTGTTAGGATAGAAGCTAGACACAATTAATGTTAATGCTGGTAGCATTAGCTAATGCTGGTGGCATTAGCATTAATTGTCATCAACAGGAAAAGATTAACCATTATTTGTGCAACTGCAATAAAAAAAAGAGAAATTGTTTTTCCATGTGTTACAGCATTTAGTTTTTATTATTCAATGTTATTTTGGATATAAAGATACACATATCAATAATGCCAGCTTGGTGCTCATGTGGGGCCCCTGGTGGTGAGGAGGCCCTACACAGCCACTTAACTCACCATGCCTTGGTTGGGCCCAGACATGCTGACTTCTCGTTTTGATTCTTTTCTTTGTAACCATAGAGGTTTTGCTACTTCAGAGTTGCTGTTGTTGTGTTTTTTTTCCAAATAAACATTTAATACACTCAGAAAACAGCTGAGATTAAATTACACACATCTGAACTCTGCTTGTCCTTTTGGCAAACAGAGTAATTTAGCAACTGAAAATAAAAAAGTTGGACTGGATTTTTTTTTTCAAGGACTAAATTAAAGCGTCCTGAATTCTATAGTACCCCACATTTTTCACATTATCTATTATTGTTGGATAATTTGAAAATCATGATTTCTCTTCCCGCTGTTTAGCCACGTATACTCAAATATGTTTGTCTAAGTTATACAATCCCAATCAAACATACCCGCTTTTATTGTGAGAAAATGCAAAAATGTTAAAGGGGAGCGGATAACATTGCGAGGCGCTGCTTTTCCAGTTTAAATAAATTCCCTGTTGACCACAAGAGGGCGGTGTGGGTTTATGGCATGTTGCACTCCACTTGGCTTCAGTACGAAGACACTTGTCACGGCCCAACGGAATTTACAGAAGCTGTAAAATGTAAATGTCAAAATGAAGGACAAGCTTAGCTCATTTGTTTTATTATGTTCTCTTGATCTTTGATGCCTTTGGCAAAAAAAAAAAAAAAAAAAGAAAAAAAAAAAAGAAAAATAAATTGATGAGTGAAGGGAAAAACAGCTTATGACCAATTATGTTTTTTTTTTACTTCTATTTTTTTAAGGTCAGGAGAAGAGAAACATTGCAGTTGCACAGTTGCGGGTCCCTTTAATTTTTCTTAAGAGTAAAGTATGGCTTCAATTACTGAATTCAAGCAAATCTAACCACTGCACCTCTGGGATTTATTTCCACCATCATTACATGATGGGAAGCCCATTTTGTGGCCTAAACTTTGCAAAGGTTAGCTGTGGGAAGGCTTTTTTTTTTTTTTCTGAGAGCAACATCAGACGACTCAGCTGTTGTGGACTCTCACTTCAGTTGACCAGTGATAAATGCCAGCCAGGTCTGTCCTTTTATTTAGTCTTTCTTTATGTATTTAGCCAGTGTTGATTATGAAATATTTCTAGGAATGCTCCACAGTGTGAGGCATTGTTAAATCGTACAAATGTGAACGCAGAGAAATTATGTAAAAGTTGCAATCTGTTCTGAAAGAACATTGTGTTTCCCACAACATTGTCCCCAAATGAAGTTAGTCATTAATTATTTAAAATAAGTGTTCATTGTAAACATGAAGGGAGCAGAAATAAAGCCAGGCTGGAAATCTGGTGACAGTTGACCATCACTGCCTTCTTGTACTCTGTTTGAGCAAGTCGTCACGTGTGAGATAAGCTACATTTAAATCGCCTTGGCTTGTTACTAGGCTACAGAAAAAGGTTAGATTTACACTGCCGCTGGAAATGTGTTGACTTTTTTTTGAGGCAGCTGCTGTTTAAAAGTCCAGTAATCTACAGGGAAAGGTCAGTTCCAGGACAAGAGGAAATCACTTCCCAACCCAGTTTTTTAGTCATCTCGTTCTCTGAAGTTGCAAAACAATTGGACTGGAGTTTTATGTGTTATTGTCTTCAAGAAAAAGACTTGACACACATTGAAAAGATTCTTCAGGTCACAATAAATCTCTCTGACCCCACTTTATTGCTTCAGTGCAAGAAACACCCACATATAAACCAAGTCCAGTACAATGAAACATTGGATTTAATTTGCACTTCAAAGGGATTTCATCCTTTTGCCTCATTGTTTTAACAAATGAAAATCTGAAATTTGTGGTGTTCAGTCATTCTGTAATTAAACACTTGAATTGAACCACTAACTACATTTCTGTTACAAATGTGCACAAAGCTTTGTCAATATTCTGCTAACGTTTAAAAATCTCAATTTTGCAGTTGCTGTGTTTCCGTTAAATAAGAAATGCAATTAAAATCAACTGTGAATAAGTTTGTTTACAGAACAAGTCATTAGGAAGTCATCATCCTTCGACTACTTCCTGTCATCTTCTTCTTTGTGGTTTGTGCCAGTGGCAACATCCAGTTGTTGATGATGTGACTCATGTGGTGTGGAAAAAAAGTGTTTTCACTGGAGTTTTGAAAAATAACCCCCCCAAAAAATTAGACATTAGTGGGAAGCATCATCCAATTTCAGGCCCCTCTACAAAATAACAATGGGATTCAAGTCAGGACTTTGACATGGCAGCTAGGAACAAAACGCAAGAGCTGCAATTCAGACAAGCTCACTGAAATTATAGAAGAGATTTTGAAAACATCCACTGTTCTCCAATGACCTCCACAGTTACCAGATCTCAATTCAATCGAGCACTTTTGACATGTGTTGCAAAGGGAGTTTCACATCCTGGATGCGCAACCAACTGTGAGTGGATGTTAACATGAGACCCTGACTGACTGAAATCCAGATAACAGGTAAAAGACAGAGTCCAGTCCAGCCAAAGTGTACCTAATAAAGTGGTAGTTGAGTCGATACTGAGATTAAATTACACACAAATGGGTTCTATTTAAATGTGTAAAAATGAAACAGTGTAAAGCAAATGTCCTTCTCACTCCACATGAGTAATGGAGCACGTCGTGTTGGCCAGTCACGTAAAATCCCAGTAAATGCTTTGAGATGGCAGCAGTTACACTGATACAGCTCCTTCACCCTAAACGCCCCAAAGTTTCAAGGTTAATTCGGTTTTTATTGATTTCTGTTTTTCCAGACCCGGAGAAGTGGGTGGAGCTAAAATTAAATAGCTGGTCGCTATTGGCTAGGAGCTGACGCGCACGTGCTCCTTCTCTCCGCCTGTTGACTGGGAGTTCATAGCGCTCGAGCCACCGCAGCAACAGCGTCCAAACCAAACCGCCGCGGAGCTCCGACTGAGCCGTTTTCCCGCAGACTGACAAACTGCAGCTTCTTCTTCTTTTTTTTCTCGACCGACGAAAACAGCGGCCATGGAGGAGCAGGCGCGTTACTTCTTCTGGGCGCAACTTCTCGCGGCTTGCCTGGTGTCTGGGGTGAAAGGTAAGCGGCTCGCGCTGTGACAGTTTTCGTGTTTGTTTACAGTTCAGATGAGCTCATTAACACTTAGCACGACTGCGGTTCTGCTCGAGTGATGGAGCAGTTCTCTAAAGTTGTTCCAGGTGTCTGTCTTCTCGAACTAAGTTAATGAACTCACTATGAAAATCCCGGGAGACCGTGTTTTACTCACTTCTTTGACAGTGGAGACTCTCTTTCAGGTCGCCAAATCATTAATTCACTTCGGGAGAAAATGAACTGGTTATGAGCTGTAAGGCGCAAATGTACAGCACATGTGCGATATTCAACACACACACGCAATTTGTCCACCACATTTTATGAAGGCTATAACTTACCATCGCGTATTTTTGAGAATAGTTTTAATAACAATTAAATCGTTCAGTAATTAAAACACTTCAGCAACATGAATTACAGAATAATAAAAGCCTTTTGGTATTTTTGTGCATTGACCCCCTTTTTTTAAGTAGCAGTAGACACGCAGGCTGTCTATTATTCGTCTCCAGTTTTAACCTCCTGCCTTTGGCATCTTGGTTTTGTTTGTATTTCCATGCATTGGAGACATTTAGGCCAATGAACAAAAGGTAAAACGTCTTGACTTCCCTCTAGCCCCCTCTCCTCCATTTGTGCTTACCAACATACCAAGGAACAGGAAGTGCTTTCTTTGGATGATGGATTTTCCAAATGTCATGCTGTCGAAGCGGGGAATACACAACTTGGTAGTTAGTGTATTACTCACCAGATGTCAGCCTGAGGCTTTTCCTCCTGCAGCGACCCAAGCTCCTAAAGTCTCCTTGTTTGACAAGAAGCGTGCTGTAAGCCCCCCCACACACCCACTCCATCACCAAATCCCACATTTGATCAAGTTTTGTTGTAAAGTGAGCCTTTTATGGCTTGTTTACTTAATCTCAACACTTTTTAAAATTTTTTTTAGCTGAACTGTTGATTAGCTCTAAGTTGCCGTTTCAGAAGAAACCCCATTTAATTTCCTCAACTGATGACTTTAGATAAATGACTTACCTGTTTGTTTCTTTTTTCTTTGAAACAATGGCATGAAAACCAGAAGATTCCAGGGGCACGGGATGTCTCTAAACATGTTTTTTTGTTTTTCTTTCTCTGCGGTTCATGGGTGACAGTTATTGAAAAATAGGTGTGGTGATAAAAGATTAGTCATATTTCCTGGATTCTGTTGTTGGATCTTCCACTCCTAACAAAGTTGACATTTTAGCCTGGAGGATGACAGATGGGAGTGATGCGTCGCTATCTTATCCTGTAAAATATATACAGGAAGAGCTGATTGCATGGTTTAATGTGATTGGTTGTGTTCAGCAGGTTGTAGGTTGCTTGTCTGTTGCTTTTGCTGCTGAGTGGAGAGAAGTGGAAAGCTGTGTTGTGTTCTGTGTCAGGGCTGAGACAGTTCTTTTTTTTCTTTCTCACAACTGAAGCACTTTTGTTGGCAAAGTGAACCAGGGCTAAAAATAGCCTAACATTGGACCAATGGGAAAGCTTCAGCATGCGTTTGCGTATAATCTTTTCTTTTATGCAGTTATATACGAACCATTCTGTATTAAATTTGGTTCAAATTCACTTGAAGATTAATAAAGATACGTTTTAATTGACAATATATCACCCAAGTAATGCTGACCTCAGTGTGTCAAGCAGTGGAAAGCACACAGGAATTTAATTTCCTGCTAATATAATAATGTCTGTGCTTTACCGTTACTCCGAACATCGTGCATTGACTAATATGTGGGTTTAATTTAGGGTTTATGAAGCATAATTCCTGAACTTGGTTTTTGCAGCACAAGTTGTTCCTTAAGCTGCCGCTAGCTGCACTGCTCGTGTTGCTGTGAATGTTGTATCTGGAGATGAATAAGATGTGGGTGTAAAAGTGAAGACTTCAATTCACATCTTATTCAGGCGTTGCAGCAACAAACCCCTTGGACTTAGGAGCCGGTATTTATGCGGCATTTTGGGAAAATTGCAGTTGGCCTTTTTTTTTTTACAGAAGTGTTATGGATTCAACTTGTTGGGCTAACACAACGTTTTACGAACTTTGTGATGCTGTGCTGGTGGAAGTAGCTGCACATTGTCCGAACAAAAAATAATTAATTATCATCCTATTTCTTGTTGTTATCTTTGTCGTTTTCGCCAATAGTAACATTCGGTTGTTGATCATGTGACTTGTGATGTGGGGGAAAAAAAAAGTGTTTTGATGGAGCTGAAAAAAACCACCTCATCCCACGGCAAAAACATTATCAAAAAAATTTGTTTTGTTTTTTTCCACAAGGCCTCAGTGTTTCCATTAAGGAGGTTTATTTTTATAGTTTCATTGATATCCAACTTGTGAGACTTAAAAAAAAAGATAAAATCAAATTGTATTGTATGATTGTTAAATAATAGAGTTTTATTGTATGGAATAGATATTTGATACAATTGGATAAAATGTATTTGGTTTACAGTGACTTGCTCTCATCTGACTTCCTGACCTTCTCCTGCCCCTCTCTTCTGGATCCTCCGGTGGCTAATTGGAAAACTTCAAACAGACCTGGACAGGATTGAGTGGAGGGACTTGGGTCTTACTTCAGGATTTTAATCCATGACTGTGTAATGTGTTACTAATGGTAACCAGATACTGTGGGGAAAAAACTGTGGAAATTTTTTTTCACAATTGACTTGATCAACTCAATTTTTGGCCAGAACATCACAATTAAATGTCTTCCAGATCTTGTGCAGCCCTTAGTACGTGTTGTGGTTGTGTGAATCAAATATGAATATTCCAACAACAGTTCTGACTCAGCCCATCTGCTCTGATGGGATTTCCCTCCAGGCCTCTGCCTTTTTTCAGCACTGATCACTTTTTTTCCCCTTGTCTCTCGATACAAGATTTTCTTGTGTTCTCTTTCGCCCTTCATCTCATTTCAATATTGAACAGCTTCCTCGATCAATATTTTATCACAGTGTGGAATATCTTCTAATTTTGGATACTTTATTAGTATCTGTCACCCCACTTTCCAATCTGCTGTGTTCAATATTTTACATGCAGCCATGTGATTTTTTTATTTTTTTTTAACATAGTCAGGCAGCACTTGAATCAGAGATCACAAATTGTTCATTCAAACCAGTTTAGTTTAGATATAACAAGAAAGAGGAAATCAGCATTAGCTTTTATGGTTTGAAAAAAAAAAGAAAAAACAAGGTAGTTTTTAAAATGTTTTCTTTCCCGGATCTTATTCAGCTCTTCAGAGGAAAGTGTTTTGTGGCGTTGCTGGTGCGTGACTCCTCTGTGTGTATTTATAGACTTTTAGAGCAGGAGCAGATGGCTGTGCTCTGGAGTTGCAATCACAGATTACAGAAAGCTCACCTGCAGCTGGAGTCCTGCTGATCTCAGAATATGTACAAAGTTAAAAAAAATAGCTGTGCTCTTACATTTTAGTTAATCCATTTCCTGTTACACTTCAGGTTTGACTCCCTTCCCCTGAAGCTCCCTGCTGTTTTCTAGCTGGTTGTTAGACTAAATGAGCGCCAGAGGCTGCCTGAACGCACGTCAACACGTCTTTAACGGCTTCCACAAGGGCTGAGAGTTAGGGTTACGAATGCAGGCGAAACGACTCTCGCTCCCTGGCTTTCTGGAACACTGAGTCCTGCGCTGTCCTGTTGGTTTGTGTGGCCCAGCATGACTGTGCAGAGAGCAGAGCGCGTTGCTGCGTAATGTGAAGACTGGCTTACTACTGCGTGTTATTCCCACTGTCGTGGAGCTTCCGTTCTTCACATATTTTCCTTTATGGAGACATTTTGTTCTGTCTCCAGATGACATCTCTGATGTCACCAAAGAAGCAGCATATGTTTTAGATACTCAAATTCAATTCAAAAATAAATTAAATGAAATACTCTATCACATGATGGGAATCAGAAGGCAGGTACGAGCTCTGATAGGCTCTTCAATAAAGGAATCTAACAAAAAGGTTTACAGTTGCAACGTGGCATGATTTTTTCTTCTTTTAATTGAACCACTGATAATTTTTATTCTTAAAGGGGCATGATTGAGCTTTACATCGTGTTACGTTGTTCCATCATCTTAAATGTACCTGGAATACTACCTTGATTCTTTTATGCATGTTTAAGAAATCCTTGAATATCCCATGGCAACCATTCAGTTGTGCAAAACGCTTGATTGGACCTAGTTCCGCCTTCGAGGCACAGCTCCTCCTCGGAGCTGCAGTTTCTAAGCTTCCACCTCCCACAGCAGCCTTCCACTGTTACTACTCCACTCATCTCTTTCAGACTAGCCAGCAACAAATTTTCAAACACCTGCTGGAACTGCCTGAGCTCTTAACAGTGACTTAATTCTTCTATAAAGTTTTCATTTTAAATAAATCAGCCTAAAAGCTTTTTTTTCCGTACAACCTAGCTAAAATGTATTTTAAAAAATAAGTGATATTTTCAAATTTCTTGTCAACTTTAAACATTTTTTAACTCAAAAGCACGAAGGGTTGCTGGCCCTAGCATCCAACCACTGGGCTTAGCAAGTTTTCTGGCTGAAACCTTGAAGCACAAATAATGGTTCTTCGGTTTCAGTACAATTAAATAACCGTAAACAATACTTTTTTTTTCTGTTTTTTAAGTCACTGGTCACACCAAAAAACTAAATCAGTCAAAGCTGTCAAAAGTTCAGACTTTTGACAACTCACAATTTAAAGGTCTATTCAGTAAACATACCGAGTGGGATGTGGTCACCGGGCCGCCGTGTTGAGTCACTCGTAATAACATCCTCTGCAATCTCGCACAGAAAACATGCTCCGTGCCGGGCATCATTCAGAAAACGTTTATCTTGATTACTGCAGTAAAATAAACTGCCAGCATAATAGCCTGGGTGCTTTCCTAAAGCTTAGACCTGAATGGTTTTAAAATCATCATGCTCAACTGCTCCTTTTGCGATTTAGAGACTGGTTTTGGGGAGTCGCATAACATCCCTAACCCGTGTTTGGTTTGTGTCTATGAGGACTGTGTTGTCACTTGCAGCTAGCTCTCTTTGTTCTGGTATTTTCTTGGGTTGAGGCTAACTGGAAACGGCTCAGACTATGACTCACAATATGGACAGAGAATAACACAATGCCCTCTGGAAATGGCTTTTCCTGCCAACTATAACTCTGCATACCTTCCTAATGGTGGTCAGGACCGAGCCGGCACAACACTGGGTACCTTCTTAACTATTTGGACCAATGTGTGTTTTTTTTCCTTTAGTATTAGGTCATATCCATATTTAGCAGAAAATGAATGAAATGATGGCTTGCTTGTTTTTAATTTTTTTTCATTGTGATTTAAAAAAAAAGACATGGCATTTAGGCTGCGTACACACAAGTAATTGTAACTACGCCTGTTGCAATAAGCAATAAATCAATTTGAGGCAAATTTATCCACAAATGGGACATTTCTCTGCTTTTTGCATTGACAAAAATATAGTGCATCTCCATTTATATGCATTTAAAGTATATAAATGCATATACATTTATATATGCATTTCATTTACCACAAATTTCTTCATTAGTGGTAAATGAAGAAATCCCCTGAAATGTAAACTAGCCTCCGCCTTAAACTGAATCACCTTTATTGTGAGACAAGTTTCTCATTTCCCATGAAAAGAGAACAAGCCATAAACAACCCAGGCAACTGTGTAACACGTCGGCTTATATTTTAAACTGAGAATCATACTTCATCATTTGTGTGGCTTTACGCAGGTTTTTCTCTATTCCTCATTTTATTCATGTGCGGTATTTACAGAGGGTCTCATCATTTCGGGAAATTTCAAAGATGCTTTTGGTGGTTTTGTTCTTGGCAGACAACTTTTTACTGTTTCATCACTAATTTAATTTCCTGGCTGGGAGCTGACTTTACCCCTTCAGTTTGTGCAGACCACAAACATTTACAGAGACTGTTAAATAAGCCGAGCAATCTGTCTAGTTCTTTTTTTTCCTTTTTTTTTTATTTTTATCGAACAACCTGGATCGGATTGTTCCAGAAATCCATTTTAGTTTTCTGAAGGGAGCTGGCATAGGAAGGGAGGTTTCATTCCTCCCCAAAGATAAACAAGCAGCAACTTTTCAGATAAAGATGAGTTGTTGGACCAGTGGTGGGAGAATCCCATGAGATGTGAACAGATTCGACAGGCCTTGACATTGGACACATCTATCATATCTCAACATATCAACAGGAAGTGCTTCTCTTGGATAAACCAAACAAGGTACTTCCAGAGAAGATCTCTTCTCTCTCTTATTCCACGAGCAGCGTAGAGCTGTACACCAGGCACCGCCAAAATTCTTGCTAAAATATTAATTAAGTCATGTTTATTGCTTTACATGGATAAAAACAGAAAAGTGTAACAAAACACATATTTATTTGTAAGATTTATTTTTTAATTGACCTTTCTTTAAAAATGTCATTCATCTGTTCCAATAGGTTTTGACTTACTGCCACTCTTGCTGTTTAAAAGGAAGTGCAATTTAAATGAATTGGTATGCATTATTTGTTCTGATAATAGCTCTACTGGTCCTCACATTAAAAAACGTTCTAGATCAGATCAGGTATCTGTGACTTTCTGAACTGTTTGAAAGAAGTTTTATTGCAGTTTTTTTTTTTACGTGTTCGACGAGCATAGGCAATTTGTTTGAGTCAGTTTACAGTGGCTGTTGTAGTCCTAGTTTCACAGACTGAACAAATTAAAGTTGTTTTTACATGTTTGATCAAACTTGTGAGACTCTTGGTGTATTTAAGTGCTGTACTGCAGAGTGCAGAGTTACCAAATAAACTTTCAATTCAGTCTGTTTGCGAAAAGAAATATTCAATTGAGTGCTGTTTTTCCAGTATCGGAAGTGAAAATATTGGATTGTTGGTTTCCTACTGATAACTAGAATCAGTTGGAATGATTGAACTGAAATGACTTTCCTTGAGATGAAGGGTGTTATGAATTGGTGCTGTACTGTATCAGCGAAACTTAATTGGCTTCTTTTGAAAGTGAAAGCAGAGAGCTTCCTTCTACAACAAACAGCTGTGTGAAAATGTTTTGCAAAGTTGCATTTCAATAAACCACACAGTTTCTGTCCTGTCTATTGTATATGAATAATACTGATGCTTTGTCATAAACTGCCATAACCTGTAGCACCATGTTTGAGAATTTCTTAAATCTCCATGGCAACCATTCTGCTGTGCAGAATGTCTGAATGGACCTAGCCCCGCCTTCGAGGACAAAGCTCCTCCTTAGGATGCTCCAGTTTCCGGAGCCTCCACCTCACAGAGCAGCCCTCCCCATGACCCCTTCACTCAGCTCCTTCAGACTAGCCAGGAGCAATTTGCAAACACCTGGTGGAACTGAGCAACTTGTGAGCTCATTGAGGAGCTACTTTCCAGAGCAATTTTGGTGTAAACATTGCTAATGAGTTTATATAGGAGTAATGTTGTGAGGACTTCCTGAAGGTGGAGTTTCTGAAAGAGCAGGAGTTTTTAAAGAGATAGAGGCCCAGTTTCAAGGCGATATATTATGAAATCAAATTTTTTTTTACTTCATGTTGGGCATATGCAGCATTTTTTTTTATCAATAAAGGTAACATTTACTTGATTGTGCAATAAAATAGCACAATGTGCATGGAAAAAACATTTAAAAAGAAAGAGCCATAGTGCTTACTGTGCTGTAAATTCTTAGTTATTTTTCTCGTTGTTTGGTAAGTTTGTAAAGACCAGAAATCTGAAATTGATTCAGTTCTTGATGTTTTCAAATGGAACCTTGGAGCCTCTTCTTTTCTATTTTCTCTCCACTCAGCTTTATTTGAACTGATTTTCCTCGTCAGAGAGAACTGCCAGATTGTCAGCTTCATGTCATGCAGCAGCTGCCTGCTGGTGGAAGTATCCAGTGTTTGTTGTTTGCAGGGTGGCGATGGCTTACTCAGCTGTTCACACTGTTATACTCAACCTGTACCAGGCCGGTTGTCATTTAGCCCAACAATGCAGCACCATGGAATACAACAGAATAGAAAGAGGGTGGATTTTTATGTTATTGTTTGCTCCTTAATGTGACCTCAGAACTTGAAATTAAATGTATATATATTTTAGTTTATGCCTAAAATATAAAAATTCACTCTACCTTGAAGTCTGAAAGCTCCAATAAATGTAATTTTCTAGCCCAGAACTCAAGGCCTGGAAGGATCACATTAGGAGTGGGCATTTAAGTATTGCTTGACATTTATTGTAAAAATAAATAAAAAAATAAATGTTTTGTGATAAGAATTTGCTTTATTTATGCTAAATAGCAAATCAAAACTGACAGCATTATTGAAAAAGTTATTCTTACTATTTTCGCCACTTGTTTGTTACACGAGATCACCAAATAAACATCAGTAAATGTGAAAATATGATTAAATGCTGCTACCATTTGAGGTTTTGGTGACATAAATGACTTTTTTTATTTTATTTTATTTTTTAGTAAGTGTCATCCTGAAGAAATGTGTTTCAAATGGGACTTTTTTTTTCCCCAAGAGCAGTATTTGTGGCACTATGAATGCTGCGCCATGCAGTCATGGCCATATATTTACCCTAATTTTTTATCAATTTAATTGCAATAGTACCGCAAAATATCGCAATAAAATTCTAACTCCGTATCACCCACTCTGATATAGTACACAGATATGTGAATATATAAAGTTATTATAGTTGTAAGATAAGTTTTTATTGGTGTCGCTCTCGCTCTGCTTGCAGGTGACCTCTGTGAAGTGAACGTTTGTAACCACGGGGGAACTTGCGTGACCGGGACACGGACTCCATTCATTTGCATCTGCCCCGACGGCTTTTCAGGTGAAACCTGCAATGAGACTGAGACAGGTACGTTGATTCCCCTCATTAACCCACCAGATGTTTGAGAGCTCCTCATGATGTTAGGAGCTGCTAATACCATGAGGAGCTCCTAACACTTTTAAAGAGAGGTCAGATGATGACTTGCTTTGCTTTCGCGTTCTTTTTGCTGTGTTTTCGTCCCAAAGGGCCTTGTAGCCCCAACCCCTGTCAGAACGACGGCATCTGCGAGGCGACTGGCCAGAGCCGCCGCGGTGACGTCTTCACCGAGTACGTCTGCAAATGTCAGCCCGGCTATGAAGGAGTCCACTGCCAAACCAGTAAGACTGTGCTCCATTTGACATAGCTTTAGCACAATAATGTTTATTGTGAAGTCTTTGAGTAATAAAAAGTTGACGTTCTGGTTAGAAATACAGTTTTTGTGTTCCTTTAGTCTGATTTAAAAATAAAAAAAATTAAAACTGTCTTTCAGCAGTGTGCTACTGTATGTTTGTTAAATTGGTTGTGAAAGTTGTGGATAATGGTGTAGAATTACAGTGCACCCCTGCTCATTCACAGTGCAGAATTTTCACATTTTTAAACTCTAAATTAAAATAGTCCAATTCACAGATTATTTTCTTTTGTAGAGCTCGTCTAAAGTATTCGACAGAAAAAGAAGCTTGGGAAGCTGAAATACATAAACATAATCCTACTTGACAAGTTATTGGTTGCTGTTTGAAAGCAGGCAGTCATTTTTTTGTGCTGTTGTTGAAGGGGTGTTGCAGCGTCTTTAGTTTGCGGAAGATGAACAGGAAGGGTGTGTAGTCAGTACTATTCCTCTGTTATTGGTTGTAATGACACACACAAACAGCTGTCGAATACAGAAAATGCTGACTAGAAATAGTTTTTCCGCCACTGTTATGGCGCCCCATTTAGTGCAACGCACACTTTTTGGGACACTGGGATGACTAGATGTTAGTTTCAGCTGTTGAGGGATAGTTGTATTTTCTAATCCCCATGAATACCAGGGGTCCACTGTACTGTATATTTTTTAATGATCGTTTATTAATCTTTTTTTTTAATGCAAACTGCACCACTTTGACAAATTTCAACTTTGTTATGAGCAAATGCAGTTTTATTTTGGTTGAAAAGAAAGTTTAAAAATGTGAATATGATCTCTTCACAATTATGACAGGTCCTGGTTTATTTGTTACTTTGTTGTTTAATTGTGCATTTCAATTTGTAGATTAAAGTTGGATGTTTTCAATTCATAATAAACAAAAATATAATGTAGAGCTTCGTGCTCTAAAAATAAGCTTCTGCACTAACTCCACTTCAAACATCCAACATAGCTGTCCATATCTATTAAAACTTGCAGTTAATTTTGAATTACTTGTATTTACTATTTTGCATAGCAGTAAACCAGTGACGCACACAGTTCTATAGAGCTTTTATTTGTGAAAATGGTGTCTTGCGAATAATAAAATACTAATGTCTGCTCTCCTGAACTGCAACTGGAACATTGCCTTGGATTTGCTGTCATTCCCACAAATGAAGATGGTGACTGTTCTCTTGTTTACGTACTAAGACCACTTTGGTTCACTCAGGGTCATCCCAACAACACAGGGAAACTGTGGAAACATTTGCTGCACGCGCAGACAGATGGCTGCCGTTCACTTGAAAAACAGCAACCAAATGTGCACTAAAAATAAAATTAGTCAATCACTGTATCAGACAAGCTCGATTTTGGTCTGTTTGATCATAAATTTCTTTCCCTCCCAGGTGTCCCGCCAGAAAATTTAAACTCTGTGAAAGGTAACTGTGGAAATGCAGCTTGAGAAGCAATCGCCATGTTTGTGTGTGTGTCTGCCTTGCTGTCTCTCTTTCCCTCTTCAGATCTAGATGTCCTTTTGTTTTCTTGGCTGCATGGAGAGGTGGTGGCATACCAAGAACACACACATAAACACAGATGGGACAATCACTTTATCTCTCACAAGGAATTGTTTGCGAGCCAAGTCGAGGAGTTAAAATATGACAGTTATTTCTGCGTTAGATGCTCCACACGGGTCTTATCTTACCATTGTCGCCTCATACTGGCGCCTGAGCCAGTTAAGTCCCTTCTTGTTATCATCTATTTTAAACCAGAATCCCTAGAGCACAACTTGGATCACTCTCATTTAACTTTTTAAATACAATCCAACTATCCGTTTGCCCTTTTGCTCAACCGCAAAAGCCACAAATCACAGCTCATTAAAATCTGTTCATCCACAAGTCAAATTTACTGCTGGATTAACGGGCCTCTGCAGAGAAGTTGTTTCCACTAATTGGTTGAAACCTTCCCCTCTAATAATACAAAGGCTTAATGCGGCAGTGCTGAGTCAGGGGGAACTCTCATGTGGACTACGAGGTCGGGGAGAGCTCAGCGTCTGTTGACACGAATGACAGCAGAAGTGCTATTTGTTGGTGGTTGGGGGTCACAGTTTGGCATCCGACTCAGGATATAATAGGTGGAAATGTCACTGAGGCAAAATACTTTAAACAAATATATAACCAGAGGTCCAAGAAGATGTCATACAAGATCTTGTAATAGTAACGCATCACAATATTTCTTGTTGAGGTAAAGACTGTCACCTGTTGAGGCTTTGCCTGAAAAAGTTGTAATGTGAACTACACTCACATCATTTGTTTGGCTCAATTTGGGGTTCCTAGTTGAAACTATAAATGCAACAGAGAGACAAGACATGAAAAATGTCAAAGTACTCCAAGTTGTTTAGATGTAAGAAGAGGCAGAAAACATTGCTATGACAACCACTGGATGGATGTCCAATGGTATGTTAAGCTACATAACAATCACAACCCACTATCGGGAGCAACTAGGAAATAAAGTACGGCTGGCCGTGCATGTGAAGCCACTGTCCTTAAGTCTGAAGAGATGAAAACGAATCAGAAATGAAACATGGGCTTGTTGAACAACAATCTATAAATATGCAGCATAAAATCCTTTTGAAACATGAATTTGATCTTTGAAATTTTAATATTAAAGTCTCGTCTCATAAAATAAGTGTTGTGTCTTGTGAGTTTTAGCTATTGCTGATTTTATCATTCGTACATCTGCTAAAATAACTTATTGTAGTTATAATAATATGTGGAATGTTTAAATATTTTTGCTGTATGAAAAACACAATGTGTTGTCTGCAATTTAGAGGTTTTCAACTTCTTATTGTATCAAGTTGTATCCCTTTTCCACAATGCAAGAGATGAGTCGCTCTTTAGTCGACAAATTACAGAAAGAACAACATTTTGTTTCTGTAGGCTCTGTTCCTTCAGTGTGAACAATTCAGTTTCTTTAGTTATATTTCACATGATATTTAAGAAGACAAAATCTGAGAAAAAAAAAAAAGTCAAGAATTCAAAATGGACTGGAGTAGAGAGCGAGAAGTGACCGTGTTTGGTCTATTAGGATTCGGTGTCAGCTGAGAAAAATATGTTCAAAAGCATTTTAGATCAAATGTTTTTTCTTTTTTTTCATCCCTTTTTAGAAACGTATCAGGGGAAAGCAAATCTGAGAGAAAAAGCTTAATCACGTGCGCGCTGCACATCCCACAAGAATAAACCACGCACCGCTCATGATCTCATGTACAGACTGTTTTATCATATGCACACACGCACACACACACACACACACACACACACACACACACACACACACACACACACACACACACACACACACACACGGTTCATCCCTCACGCAAATGCAGCCAACTGAAAGTGGCGGTCCATAATGAATGTCGGGAACGTCAGCTCCGCTGCTGTTGCCGGGCGAAAAAAGCGAACATGGAGGCAGAAAGGTGAATTAAGTCTGCCCTCTTTACAGTGTCACACTTGTTACTCGGGTCTGACTGTGGCGGTTCTGACCGCCCTGTCAAACCGGGCAGAGTGCCTCCATGGGTGGTAGAGGGAAGGAAATGCGTTCAAGAGTGTGTTGGAAAAGAGAGAGGGAAATGGAGAGCAATGCCACTAGCAGCTCACTTCAAGCCACAGCAGATGGATGGAAACAGTGAGGGAAGGATCCTTCTTCCTGTTTATGATCTTCTGAAGCCAGAAGTTTCAGAGCGGCTTCAGGCGCATATTTTTACTTTTTGGAAGACGCCAGATAGCGTGTATGAGTGTACTAATCTCTCAGCAGATTTGAGGAGAGTTTTCACTCCTCCCAGGATGTGGTTGTGTGTTTGGGCAGACTGGGCTCCGTGGTCCCTGATGAATACGTACAGGGTGTAGGCTTGTGTTCTCGCCCCTTCATGGTCCGGATGGAGAGGGGATGAGCGTTTCCTGGTTTATTTTGTTGGAGTTAAATACCCTCTTAACATGGAGAACGCGAAACTACCTCAAGTAGGCAGCAACTAGAACTGCAATATTTCTTATTTTTACCTCAAAAAGATTTCACTTTCACACCATTTCAAACAACAACAAAAAAAATACATCCACATTTTTACAAATCACAAAATTGTAACAAGTTTTGCTGGACAAATACATTGTCCCAGAAGTAATTGTGATAAACAATAATGTTTTGTGACTGTTTTCAAGTAATATAACAGTTACAGCATAATAATGCAAGAACTCATTCTCAAAGATTAATGTAACTTTTAAATTCTAATTAACATTTAATCCTGAAACTGGAAGACTCTATAAGTATCCAAAATAAACATAACAGAAACGATGGATAAGTTCAGCTTCTAATCATCAGCCTCACAGAGCAGCCCTGCCCCACTCAGCTCCTTCAGACTAGCCAGCAGCAATTGGCAAACACCTGCTGGAATTGCAAATCCTCTGAGCTGTAGCAGCGACTTCTTCTGTTAAAAATATTGTTAAAGGCTTGATAGAAGAGCCATGTTGTGATGATTTCCAGAAGTTTCAACAAGAGCAGGAGTCTTTAAAGTAACAAAGGAACAATTTTGAGACATGAACTTACAAAGTCAAATTTCTTTTGTCATATTTGGAGTGTACAGTGTTTTTATAGCAACTGACAGTAACATAGTTTCATAACTGTGCTTAAAAATGGCACCAGGTGCCTGGAAAATGCATCATACGGCCCTTGTTAGAAGTTTGCTACACTGCTTTGGGGTTTTTTTTTGTGTTAGTCTTGCTCTTCACAAGCATTGTGCAGGATCAGGTTTCAAGCAAGGCCCTGAGATTACCACTGGTTTTTCACTTCATACAGAGAAAAAAAAAGTAAGTTAGTGGATTAAATTTAGGAGCTTATGAAATGAAGTTGTAGCTCAATCCCATTGGAGCAAAGAGACTGAAGCTCATGGGATATCTTTTTTTTTCCATTTTATTAAATGTTTGTTGCCGTTCATAGTGGGCAACAAACATTTTGACAACGTTTTCACAATGTTTGCTTTTCAATCAAAATTATGGTGCGATGTTAGGCTTTAAAAATTCTTCAGTCAGCACTTAGCATTTTTACAGGCAGTTAATCAACCTCTTCAAGTGAAGTCATGCCGTCTGACGTTCTGATGTTTGACTTCCACAATCCAGTCCTTTTATTTTGTGCATTGGTGGAAATTAATTTGATCAATAAAGTATTGCTGTAAACACTTGGATATTCCCTCTGTGTTTTAGTTAAAGGAAGCTGGACTCTCCGTATCTGAATAACCAGCGTGCCTAATTATCCAGAGCGTGCGGCTGTACAGTTCAAAATTACTATATCCCTCCTATGATGGGTGAAAATAACTGTTTGGACACAGAGCTATTTATAGAGGCAGTGTGTGGGCGGTAAGATGAAACTGTGTGTGTTTTTGCTGGTTAGAAACATTACATCTGTCTCTCTGGTTGGCTTGTGCGTTTTACGCGGCAATGACGGTGACCAATAAGGGTTGAAGCTGGAAGATGTGTGTTGATATGTCCTCTAAAGTCCCTCAGTTTTAGTTGTACACGCAACTAAAACTGATCTTTAAAAAAAAAAAAAAAAAAAAGAGTTAAAAGTATTCGGAGCAGTTTGTCTAAGGTTGCTTGGGTGAGAAATTATTTTTTCACGTGTCCTAATCTAATTATCATTGTCGGGGGGGAGGAAGAGCTATTGGTGCTTGCGGGCGCCACCCGGGGTCAAGGGGAGGAATCGCAGGGAAAAAATTAGCACATTGTACACTGCACTAAAATTTTCCCTTAATACATTCTGTTTTTAGTTTTCCTTATATAATCTTGCTCAACCACATGATCTCTTGGTGCAGCTGGACCTTTCAGACCGCATCAGTTTTACAAGATTACATGAACTCACTAAAGTAGAAATAATCCTGCTTCACTAACCCTCTTTTCTCTGCAGCTGTGGTCTTACTGGTTTGGCTTCGGCTGCAGTGCCTTCCCAAATTATTTGTACACAGTGAACGTCTTCACATTTAGCCATTTAACAGCCACACGCTTCAATAGTTTAATTCTATTTTATAATGACACTTTAAAAAAATTCTCCTCCCTTGTTCTTGTACTCCTAAATAAAACCCAGGATAGATTTCTTCGACAACGATAATGAGTCGTGCATTCTACAAATCCGATTTTTACTAAAGTGGGAAATGTCGCAAACTAAACCACTTGGCTTGCATAGGAAAGACTGTGTTGTTGTTAATCCAACATCACCTCAAACCTTCTGAAACAAGCATGATAGTGGCCCTAAGCACATATGAGTGGTTTAGATCAAAGCATATTCTTGTTTTAACTCAGTCTGGTTTTACTTTGAGGTTTTAAATAAAAGAGGGCTGAACAAAAATGCGCTCAAAATGTTTCAGATTTATATTGGCCAAAAATCATTTGTGGGACTTCTGAATCGAGTTAATTGTGGGGTCTGTAATTTAATTGCATTTTCATCAAATTATAAATTGACAAAATGTTTTAGAAATGTGGAGTTTGGATACCGCCATTAGTGTTCGACGTCTGTGCTGTTGCTACATGTTTAGCATTAAACAAAATAGCATCTTTTTAAGATGGTATTTTAGCCTTTAAGAGCTTCACTAATAGGCTAACTCCTTTTAGCACAACTTCAGCACAGCAGCGGTCTTTTCCAGCGTCCCATCAGATCATATTTAGAATTAAAAATTGACCCCAGCGGACCAAGAGAAGTGGCTTCATCGTTTACATTCCTAAATTAGATTTTATTCAGCCAGTGCATTAATGCCACATAAAATCCCAATGTAATACATTTGAATGAATCAGTCAGACCTTGCTTGTTGAAGAAGCATGAGTACTTCTAGACGGCACTGTAAGCTTTGCTGAAAGCATGACATTAACTTCCTCTAACATTTTTAACTCAAGTTTTATGCGAAACGCACTGAGGCTGGCCGTCCTCCTGGATCGCAGTAAATGACCAAGTGATTCATCTCTCCTCAGACGTAAACGACTGTGCCGTCCAGCCGTGTGAGAACGGCGGCACCTGCCGGGACTTGGACGGAGACTTCAAATGCCACTGCCCCTCTCCATATGTGGGCAAACATTGCCAACTGCGTGAGTGTAACCGACTCGCACCACCATCATCGTCTTACAAAATGACAGCAGAAGTGCTCGGGCGAGCGATCGATGACTTAATGGAAGGAGTGTAATAGAGAAGTGTAAGACTAAACCGAAAATGATTGAGTTGGGAAGATGGCCAAGTGCGGAGCTTCATATTGATCAATGTATAGAACAGAAATGGCTTTCTCTAAATGAGAGATCAATACTTTTTATCCAGCTCTGCTGATTTAGTGCTGCGAGTCCTGAATGAGTGTATGAGCCTTTTTAAGAGCTGCAACTTTATAGCAATGCATTAAACCATCTATCCATTTGTTTTTTTTACAAATGTATGGCATAAATTCCGATTTAATAACTTGATTATTTTGTGCTTTAGTTGAAATTTGACTTCATTAATGTTGAATGTTTGAGAGAGGGCAAAATGGCTTTAAAGGTTTTTTTTTTCTTTCATAACGTTTCTGATTTTATTTTAATAGTCTTTTGTTTTTTCCCCTCAATTTTGCTTTTATTTCAATCATCCCTCCTGTGCTTTGTATGTAAAAACATTTCTGTTTATGAGGATATGGTCGTTATATCAGCAGAATGAAATCACTGTTTTAACAGAAAAAGTCTTAAAATTAAGAGTAAGTGGTTTTAATAAGCGAAAAGATTTGATCGATTATTTCCGTGAAATAGACATGGTTGTTTTAAAATCCCGCTGGTGTAAATAATTTGATGCAGATGCGTTAAAAGCATTTCTGTAAAACTTTTATCAACATATAAGTTCACAAAATATTCATCATGACTAATTATTTTTTTGGTTTGGAGTTCTCATAAAGTTATTGCTTCACTCTCCTTATATTGCAACTTTATTCTTGTAATTACTATGACGATATTCTGGTGACAGCAACCAAAACCGTTTGTAGCCCAACAGTCAAAGTCCAGATAAACAGAATCTCTGGTCAAACAAGATGCGTAGCTCTTGGCGTGTTGACATCACTAAATCAAAATTTTCCAAATATTAAATGAAAGACCAAGAATTCACTTCACCGCCCTATCTGGAGGCGCAGCGTTCATACATCTCTCTTCCTCAGGCTGTATTTCTCTCCTCGGCATGGAGGGCGGGGGCATCGCCGAGTCCCAGATCACGGCCTCGTCGATCCGCTACACCATGCTGGGCCTGCAGCGCTGGGGCACAGAGCTGGCCCGCCTCCACAACAAAGGACTGGTCAACGCATGGAGCGCTGCGCCTCATGACAAGAACCCCTGGATACAGGTCAGCACAGCCATGTTTTAACAGTGTAACATGAGCAGCTTGGATCCATACTAATGAAAGATGAACTACAGTAGCGGAATCAATTCAAGGTTTCTATTTATGACTTGTTAAACACTGGAAAGACGGTTTCTTTAATTCCATTTTGTCTTGCCTTTTTAAGCGCTAATTATCAACCTGACTCGACCTGCTCTGAAAATATTAATCCTGTCATCGGTTTGTAGATCAACATGCAGAGGACGATGCGTTTCACGGGCATCGTGACGCAGGGAGCCAGTCGCATCGGCACAGCAGAATTCATCAAGGCCTTCAAAGTGGCTTCCAGTCTGGACGGCAGGACGTACACCATGTACAGGACAGAAGGACAGAGAAGGGACCAGGTGAGGACTTGAGCAAGGAGACGTAGCGCTGCTGACGTTAAGGAGGTTTCAAACTGATCAGCATAAAGGAAAGATTTTAGGATATAGGCAGCCTGATTTATTCACAACTTTTTTGCAATTCTTTAAAATTTAGAAATATAAACATTATTCTATTTTATGGTGTTTTTATGTCCCAATACCTACAAGGCCAAGCATATTAGTGGAGTGAAAAAAATATAAATGTTCTCATTTTATTTGCATATTTAAAATAATTCAGTTTCTGCTTTGGATCAAACTAATTTTGAATTTGAACTGGAGGGTTTTGACTAATGAAGATCTAAAAAGTGTGACATAAATTTGTACTCGGACCCTTTTTTTGTGGCGATACAGGCCTTAAACTGTCGTAATGGTTTGAAAACGGTCTAAAAAGCTCCGAAAGGAAGTAGTTAACTTTCAGGCCTACTGTAAATTTAAAGTTGAAAATGATTGTTTGCAGATGCGCTCCGTCCAATCTGACCGAGCTTCAGCACTGTATTCAGCACTTCTGAATAAAGCGTAGCGGGTCATCTACAGGGGTTTCAACACCTTCCTCGTTCCCAGGTTTTTGCGGGAAACGTGGACAACGACAGCACCAAGACCAACCTGTTCGACCCCCCCATCATCGCGCAGTACATTCGCATCATCCCTATTGTGTGTCGCAAGGCCTGCACCCTGCGCATGGAGCTGGTGGGCTGTGAACTCAACGGTAAACACACACATCATTGAAACTAACTTTATGTTCACTGAATCCAGTTGGCGAAAAGAGATCTTTATATCTGCTTGCAATTAGCTCCCGTTTCCTCAGAAACGGAATTTACTTCAAAGGTTTTCTACCTTGCGGGGAACAAACTCGGCTCAGCGTGTCTAAAGATGAGCAACAAATGTGGAAAAAGTCTGAATATGTTCAACACAGATCATTGTGACGTGTTTATTTTGGTTCTTCTCTGAGCTGCAGCAAATGTCTTTTCACCACACGCTTCCTTTGAACTCACTGGGCTTTTGCACTGCTCTGTGTTTTTTATTTTCAGTCATCTCACTCGTCACATCATCGTCTCTTCCCTCTGACGCTTCCCCCAGCATTAACTCACATGGTTTCATAACAGCAGCATTATTTGAGGGATTTCTAGTTTTATCTTAAACAGTCATTTGAATGTCTGTCTTGCATTGTTAAAAATCATTTTGTTTCAAAGCAGTTTCTTGTTCCCTTGATGTCATTTTGATTTACGCTTCAGTTTGTTCAATACAATACAGAAAAAGTTGAACAGCTAAATAATTGTGGAACAGCCTAATTTCAGGGTTCGTACAGGTTGCTTGGAAACGTTTTAAATTCATTTAGGTTTGGAAAGTGTTTGATTTCTGTATAAAGTGTTTGATATTGAAACTGCGCAATTTTATAATAAGGCTTGATTAAATTTGGAAAGTGTTATTTTACAGCTGGAACCAGATCCTCTCATAAACCTGATGAAGATAGACACATTTTTTTCATCACTGTCTGAAGTTAAATCAGAATAAAATGTTCTTGTTTTAGGTCAGTTATAATTACCAAAATTATTTCTATTTGCTGAATGTAAGAAAATCTAGCAAGAACAATTTTTAGAGATTAGACACATCTTTAAAAATACATTTTGTTATATCTGAGTTAAGTTTACCTCGTTCCTGCTGTATAATGTAAAATGCCCTCAAGACATTATTAACAGTAATAAATATATAATAGTAAACCGAAACTGTCTATTTTAAGTTAATTTGATTTGTTTTCATTTCTGAAATGCAAAGCTGGAAAAGCTTTAAACCTTTGCTTGAGAAGTTCTTGAATTTGACTGTGAGGGAAATGGAAACAAACCCTGTGAATCATTAAAAATGAGATCTAGAAAGCACTGAGTTTCCTTCTACTTAAAGATGCATCAAGAAGTTGGTGACTGGAATCTCAAAAATCAGATTATTATTATTTTTTTTTTTGTCTTTTCAGTGAAAGCACCGCATCTTAAAACAAGTGAATTGAGGTGTTATACTGGCTCAGCCAGAGCCTCTAAGTTGAGATTCAGATTTTTTTTTCTTTATGAAACTACATACTTAACCAGTAGATGGCAGCAGAGATAACCACACTTTTTCCATTGGGAACTGTTTGATCTTTAAGGTCCTAAGTGTTAAAATGGGGGAATTGCGAGGAGTTAAATCAGGAAAACTCAGTTTTACAGCAGGTTCTGTTACATATGAATGGATAGAAAGAAATATTTTGAAACTCAAAAGATTTTGGTACAGGAAAATCAAACCTTTACAAATGTCACTAACTGTGCACTAAGCTCTGATTGGTTCATGTATTCACTTTGTTAATTCGAAGCCCCTGCTGCTCTCATCCTCCCTTGTTGTCACTTTGATGTCTGCTGCACCACCTCCCCGGCTGGCCTGAGCTACTTGTCCCTCCTCCCTCTGCTCCCCTCTCTTCCTCTTCCTCCTCTCCTCTTCCTGGTCTCACCTCCGCAGTATATTCAAACACTCCAGGTTGTTCGGAGCCCATGGGCATGAAGTCTCGCCTGGTGCTGGACCGCCAGATCACGGCTTCCAGCACCTTCCGCACCTGGGGCATGGACGCCTTCACCTGGCTGCCGCAGTACGCCCGGCTGGACAAGCAGGGCAAGACCAACGCCTGGATTCCCGCCACCAACAGCCGGTCTGAGTGGCTGCAGGTGTGAGGCGACGCGCCGGAGACATATTTTGGTTTTTTAAATCTGATATTCTGGTTTGTAAAGTAGTCTTTTTGTGTGTGTCTGTGTGAGTTTAGGTGGACCTGTTGTCTCCCAAGAGGATAACAGGAATCATCACTCAGGGAGCAAAAGACTTCGGCTCTGTCCAGTTTGTTTCATCGTTCAAAATAGCCCACAGTAATGACAAAAGGTCCTGGACTGTGCTGCAGGACGAAACCACGCGCAAAGACAAGGTTGGTCCAGCAACATGGAATGAACCCCACTTACAAAAATAAGTAAAAAAGTAGATGTGCTGGTTGAAATTTAAGTGAACCTAAAATGCTTCAGCAGGAGATTTTCATTACACGTTAAAAACTTTAAAATAAAACAGATTACCGTATTTTCTGGACTATAAGTCGCAGTTTGTTTCATAGTTTGGCCGGAGGTGCAACTTATACTCAAGAGCACCTTATGTATGGAAATTAACACATCACTATATCATATAACATGTTATTTTCACACTAAACCGCAAGAGGGTGCGCTAGGCCTGTGTTATGTTGCAATTAGAAATTCTAAATACAAAGTAAAAATAAATAATAAAGCAATACGTCACAAAACATCGAATTTGACTGAATAGATCTGTCCCTATGGATTGGGCACATTGTCACTAACATCCAACGCAGAAATTTTTTCAACATCGGACCGATGCAGATATTAATATCATATTGGTGCCTCAGTAATTTTAGAGGGGAATAAACGTTTCAGTCTCTCAAAACTTTGAGACGTCATCCAAAGGACCGGGAGGCTGAATCCAAATTATATGGATGAAGTTAAACACTTTTTGTCAGTCTGTCACAGAAAAGAAATCCTCCTAAGATTCAATTGTTTGGTTGTGACGTGGCGTTCTGCATATACCAGCTTTAAACGTAGCTCTCCCAGTAAAACGCCAGTTCTCCTTTACTACTAAAACCACTTTCAAACTTTGCTGAAGATTCGTTGTGCTGCGCTGCTTTTGTCTGCCCAGATCTTTACCGGCAACAGCGACAACAACGTTCACAAGAAAAACATCTTCGAGCCGCCGTTCTACAGCCGCTACGTCCGCATCCTGCCCTGGGAGTGGCACGAGCGCATCACCCTCCGGATGGAGCTGCTGGGCTGTGACGAGTAGCACGGTCTCTGCTCTACGTCCACATCTCACCCCCCAACCCGCCCCGGTTCTCTGTTCTTTTCTCCCGAGCCTGCACTGCCTTGCTCTCAGCTCTAGGGGGCAGCAAACAATAACGTAGCACCCCACCAAAAGCCTGGCTGGTCGCAGGTGGGAGCCGTCACCCCCTAACCACTGTGAGCAGAATCTCGATTCAGCTAAACTTGCCTATTGTTTTTTGTTGTTGTTATTTTGTTTTTTCTGTTTTGAATCAAATTGCAGAGAAAGGTCCGCTCTTATCCCCCCCCATGTTTTATGAAATAAAAGTGTTAACTTCCTCCGCCTTGTGTCAGAAGTCAGGGCGACTCAGTCGGTGCTGCTTGAACTCTGATCCTGGATCAGCAAACCTCAGAGACCCACAGCTGGTGATGTACATAACCCAACCTTCAGTCCAGCATTCACTGTCCCTACAAATCCATATGTAGATTATCTCTAGACGACACTTTGAGGTGTACATATATGGTAGTTTAAAAAAAAAAGTATTTTAGCTCGAAACCTGAAAGTCTTATGAACATGTTTGCTGTGATTCTGTTTAGTAAATCAAATAGTGTTTATAAGAGTTTTATATTGGTGAAAAATCTAAAGTAAGACCAGTTTATGCTCCTTTTCCTCCTTTGGTTTAATATCCAGAGAGTAAACTCTGTATTTATTAATTCCTCAGGTAGCATGCAAAAAAAAAAAATAAATTCTGCTAAACATATTTCTGTAAGTATTTCTAAAATCTGGCCGCTTGTCTTATTCAAATTCCTTTTTTTTCTCCATTTCAAAAGCTATTTAGTCAGTTTTTCATCAAAACAGTAACAAATTCAGAGACTAAAGCCTGTGGGTGAGGGAAAAAAAGACTGATGGATGTAATTTCAGGTTAAAGCCACTTTCCTCCATATGCACCCTAAATGCTACTTCTCCTCACTCTCTTCATTGTTTCCTGGTTGTTTCACTTTTTATGGCACTTTGTTCTTGTTTCTTTTTGTGCTATTGGGAACTAAGAAAATAATTTTGTGTATGGAGTGTTAAAAGTGTGGACCGTCAGTTGGCCCTCGTTCAGGAAGACGGAGGGAGGCCTTTACGTTTTATTATCATTCGGCTTGCCAGCAATGGATGTTGACGCTTGCTGCCTTGATTTACTGTTTATTTTGGGTCCAGCATTATTCCTTCTGGTTCAACTATAAAAAGAAACCAAATTAGAGCCGATTGTTCCGCTTTCGCCGGACGCGACACGGCCTGCCAAATCATCAGCATCCGCGGCCCCTCCCGCCGCTGCATCCAGACCCTTTATCATCCCATGAATTATGAATTTTGGGCTCGTGCAATATTATACAGTGTTGGTTTTGATAACAGTGAATATAAATTTGAGGCGTTTAAAAATGCATGAGGGGACAGCCGCGCCACTGAGATGCTGATGTCAGACACTGTACAATATTTATTACAGCCACCCTGTTCGCGTCTGCATGCGTTTCTATCGACGACGGCGACACGTTTTCATTTCCTCTGCGTTTAGGTCACCGTTTTTAGTTTTCTATGAACGATCAGTAAAAAAGAAAAAGAAAAGGTTTTTAAAAAATGTTTAAGAATTCAAAATGTATTTCTTGACTTTTGAGAGGGTTTGATGTTCGTTTTCAATCCAATGTTCACAAAATAAGATCTTTGTATATTCAAAGTTTAAATAAAGAATTTAAAAACACAATATTAATTGTGTAAATTTCTTCAATGTTGCTGCTTCGATGTGCCTGCATTGAATATTTGGACCATATGTCTAATAATAATGCAGAATTGTCAAGGGCTGTTTTCCATTTAAAAGGTGAAAGATTAAAAGACCTGAAGCACAGAGGGGCGTTTTGCATTTCGGTGGCCCCCGGGGGCCTAATCCCTCTGTGTGTGCTCTGAAATCTTTTAAAGGCATCTTCATCTGCGCAGAATGCTTGAATTCTTCTCATTACGTTGTGTGTGAAGGACACACACAACGGTCTGAACCGCACAGTAACCCAGTCTGGATTCAGACGAGACTGAAGGTTAATTTCAGTCTGTGAAGATGAGAACAGAATAGAAATACCGCTTATTGTCCCACGGTGGAGAAATTCAGGTGAACCAGCAGCAAGTTAAACTGAAACGGCACCAAGGATGCAGCCGTCTGAACACAAAATCAAAGCATTTCTGTAGAAATTATCCCCAGTTCTCGCAGATCTCTGCTTGTAAAATTGATGCAGATTTGTTAGAAATGTCCTCATAGTTAAAAACTGACTATAAAGCAGCAATTTATTTTCCTCTTGTCTGAAACCCGACCTGATGGTTTTTATCTTTTCCTTCACTTTTAATCTGAACTTTGAACCTTCATCTTTGTACAATGGATGGTTTTCATTCTTTTTTTTTTTGTGCTACATGCTCACTTTCTTCAATTCCTGATTGGTTCGTACAACCTCCGCATTTTTTCTATAGTGAACAAAGCAAAATCTACGGAAACGGTTCACAACTTTAAGATGGATCTTGCTGAAAGAAAATGAAGCAGAAATCTGTGAAATCAAGGCAACCCAAAGATGCAGGCAAAACAATCCATGATATGATTTGAAGATCCTGGTAGAACCACCAGATGTGAGGTGAACATTTCCTGCTTCAGTTTTCTAAGATAATACTTCAAAGATTAAAACATGTTTAAGGTAGAAGTCATTGGTAAATGGCCTCAAGTGACACCCCAAAAACGAGGGTCAAAGCGAACTTCAGTGCTTTTAATTCTTGCTGGAATTCCTGAGTGAAAAGGCAACGGACATAATGTATCAAATCAATAACGTTGAGTAAATATGGACAGAGTAATTTAAAAACCTATATTTTCCAATCGAGAGTAAGTTTGGAATCAAAAACACTCTTAGAAAATAAGAGCGCTCCAAACAGAAACACTTCTTCCTTCTACACAAAGGAGCAGAAGTCTCCACCCTCCTCCTAAAAGGAATAAACACAAAACTCACTCCTTTCCGTGCCAAACTATCCTCCCCACCAAAGAGTAACCTGCCAGAATAGACGGGTGTTGTTTGGTCAGACGTGATGCAGAATGTTGCCACGCCTTTGCAGTTCCAGTGAATATTAAATGGCTGAAGAGGAAATCGCTGCACCCACCTGCACGGCCTCGACACATTAGCAGGAGAGTGAAACGTACGGATGCAATGACCTCCATGTTGGTTGATTGCTTATTGGTAGTGCTGCTCCAGAACCCATTGTATTGCTGTTGTTGCTTCTTTTGATCACTGTTGGGTTGAAAAGATTAAGACTCGCCTTCACAGCATGATGGGCGCACTGCCGTAATTCGCAGGGATGGCTTTAAGCACATGATGAACCATTTTGATTTCGTTAGATCACATGATTTAGTTTTTCTGAGTGTATTCATGTGAAATTCAAATGTGAATGTTTCCTCACTTGTGATGTATTTGTAGTCCTCGAGATGGTCTCCTGCATGTTGCTTCTGAAACCAGCCCTGTTTTGTTCGCATCATTCAAACTCTGCCTAGGAAGTCAGATTGGTCTGGGGGTGTGTGAACAAGTAATCGAACTCTGACGCAGACCAAAGAAAGCGAACTCTGGTCTGCCTACAAACACAAGTTCAGTTGAAGTGACCTCTGATGCCATTCGAATGCACCAGAGTTCACCAGAGCAGAAAGTACACTACAGCTCTGGGCATTCTGGGTAAATGCAACCAAAGCATTTACCCAGAATGCTTTGGTTGTGCTAGCGGGAGAAATTCCTCATGGTGGTTTGCAAAAGAGAAATCCTACAACGGCTAAAATCTGATGCTCCTCCATTTTTTATTGCATTTTCTGAAGGAGGAATTTGCACTCAGCGTCTTCTGAGGTTTTAGTGTTTTCTTCATTACCTCTTGGTGCAGCACTGCCACAGGCGAATGGGGGAACAAGTTTTGACACAGCCCAGTGTGAAAGCGAATCGCACCAATTAAGAAAATGGGCGAAATTGCAACAGAAAACGTTACAAATGTTCGTTGCAACTTTGATCCCCAATCGAACCGAGCCGACTGGGTTATCTGGTGTGAAAACATCCTAAAACATGCAAAACATTCCCACGTGTTAAAATTTGAGGGAACAATAAACCGAATCCACTTTGGAATAAGGCAGAACATAGAAGTACCTCCCAAAAAAAAGTCAAAATTTTTAATTTTAGACTGCAGTAATTGTTAATGGGACAAACTGCTTCAGCTGTGCCGCTCTTCCTTTTCATGGAGGATGGAGGCATCAGCAGGAAGGGGACAGGAAGCTGTAGGTGCTTTTGTCTGTTTGGAACAGGAAGGATCTACTGCTGGATATGAGCTGCTATTTTAGACCCGATGTAAACGTCTCCTCCAGGAATGTCACCTTAAAACCTGCGCTATTTCTGCTCAGATAAACGTTTGAAGGCTGGTTTACTTGGCACGTGATGAGAGACTTTTATTTTTTTTCTTTTCTCACACAGTGGTGATCAAAACCGTACCCCCTAGTTTGGCATTTTTTTGTGTTTTCAGTTGCTTCCAAAGGAACATTTGAGAGTTGGGGAAAAGGGGAGAAATTGCAGTGCTTAGCGACTATTATAGTTCATTTCACCTTCCGTCTTTTTAATCAGGCTGGAAACTGTCTCTCCTGGTTCCTGATGGCCTTTGATTGAAACCTTCCTCTCTAATCACTACAGCGACACCAAAACCGCACCATCACTCACAAACTCTCTCTCCCTTTTTGTGACTAACGGTCCTTTTCTGAGAGAAGTCTCTGCTAATGACAGCGTGCCATTGCTCATACCGACACAATCAGCTCCTTGTCTCCTCGATCAAACACACACATGCAGACTCATTCTCTCTGGTGTTGTCTCTCAGGGCTCCAGGTCGCGGCTTGTCTAACCTCTCGGGGGCGCTGAATACGGCTTGGCTGTCGCTGAAATTACACCCCTCCGAAGCGTCGGCCGCCCGGCAGTTCACATGGGCTGCTGGTATTTAGGGCCCCAGGCTAAGAGTCTTTTTTATCTGGGGTTTTTTTTTGGGGGAAGAGGGCTGGGTCCTGTCTCTTCAAACACACACAGAAATAATGGCTTTAGGGACACACAGGCAGGGGAAGGGGGCCGTCACAGCGGCTGAGCGTGGAGGGGGGGCTGCAGTCAATAACAGACAGGGAGGGGTCTGGAAATGTAAGGAGTTTTGTGTTGGCCATTGACTGGGCCGCCTTAAACGAGGTGAGATTTGATTTGAAAATAAAATAATTATGCAAATTGAAAGCTCGAAGTGAACCTGAAGTCGGGAGCGTTTGGTTCACACACTCCAAGCTGCTTTAGGAAGTGTACTTTGCTTAAGATCCAGTTCAGGAAAACAATTCTTTTTGCAACGTTTAAAGGGGCGGTACTATGCAAAATTGACATTTTTGAGCCTCACATCATGTTATAATGTTTGTTAAACAAAACCATACCTGGAGTGTTGCGTTGATTCTTTCACTCATGTTTGAGAAATCCTTCAATCTCCCATGGCAACTATTCAGCTGTGCAAAACGCTTGGTGGAACGTAGCCCCGCCTTCGAGGACGAAGCTCCTCCTCGGAGCCGCAGTTTTCAATCTTCTGAGCTTCTGCCGCACAAAACATCCCTCTCCCATAACTCCGCCACTCAACTCCTTCAAACTAGCCAGCAGCAATTAGCAAACATCTAGTGGAATTTCTGAGCTCATTATAGGAGCTACTTTTCAGTGCACTGTAGGTAAAAAACTTTTTGAAGGGGTTTATGGAGGAGCTCTGTTGTGATAACTTCCTGAAGACAGAGGCCAATTTGAAGACAGAGTTCTTTTAAGTCATATTTTATTTGTAGCATTTTTTTCTTACATCTGATGTTAACATAGTTACTTGGTTATGCTATAAAATGGCCTTCTGTGCCTGGAAAACACATAATACTGCCCCTTATAGGGCATTGTTGAAAGAGAGCCAAATTCCTGTTTGCCGTTTGTCGGAAGCCATGTAACTGAATGGAGATTCTCTGGTTGATACATGCAGAACGCCATGGCTGGTCCAGAGTGAACATCAGTCTGAACCCATCATCCCTAAAACTAAACACGGCAGTGGGAGTATCATACTGTGTGGATGTGCCCAGACTGAAGTTTAATGTGAAAGTCTCATGATTTCTTTTTCACTTCACAATCATGCCATAATTTTATGATGGACATGTAATGTGATGCATGTCAAGTTAAAGCTGTGTACATTGTCATCTGATAAGATGACAACATGGCAGATCGGTAGTGAAAATAGTGACTGTTGGGTGAAGACAAATGAAGGAACATGATCATGGTTCAGATTTGGTATTTCTGCCGTTACCTGGTTGTGCTCTTTAAACTGCGGTCGTAATGCAACAGAACTGGGCATGCTCAGGGATCCTAAAACTCGGGTTCGCCTTCCTCTGAGCTTCCAGAGAATGTCAAGAATGCTTGTTTGTGGAGAGGATGAGTGTTTCTTTGTTGTGGGAGGCAATTCAGAGCATGTGTCCTTTCAACTACAAACATGTCTGTTCATCGTAATGGGCTGTAAATGAAATGATTTGGGAATTAATAAATGGATTGTGATAGGAGTTGGTGTAAAAAAAATCTTGCCAGAACATTTTTGGTTTTAATCGCCTTTAAAATCAGAGCCGAGATGTTTTTCTTCAAAGTTGATGGTTTCTGATCAAATAAACGCCACTTGTGAATGTGTAT